GGCTCAACGTATACTAGTGCGGGCTCAACGTATACTAGTGCGGGCTCAACATACACTAATGCGGGCTCAACATATACTAGTGCAGGCTCAACGTATACTAGTGCGGGCTCAACGTATACTAGTGCGGGCTCAACGTATACTAGTGCGGGCTCAACATACACTAGTGCGGGCTCAACATACACTAGTGCGGGTTCAACGTATACTAGTGCGGGCTCAACATACACTACTGCGGGCTCAACGTATACTAGTGCTGGCTCAACATACACTACTGCGGGCTCAACGTATACTAGTGCGGGCTCAACGTATACTAGTGCGGGCTCAACGTATACTAGTGCTGGCTCAACATACACTACTGCGGGCTCAACGTATACTAGTGCGGGCTCAACGTATACTAGTGCGGGCTCAACGTATACTAGTGCTGGCTCAACATACACTACTGCGGGCTCAACGTATACTAGTGCGGGCTCAACGCATACTAGTGCGGGCTCAACGCATACTAGTGCGGGCTCAACGTATACTAGTGCGGGCTCAATGCATACTAGTGCGGGCTCAATGCATACTAGTGCGGGCTCAACGTATACTAGTGCCAGCGTCCAGATGCTTAGCTCTCTTCTCAGAGGGAATGCGTTTGGGATATTTTTTTACTTCCTTAGCGTGTATTATTGAATTCTTTCTAGTGTCTGACACAAAAACCGTTTAAGTATTAAGCGGAATTAAAGTGCAAAGGATGCTCAATAATTGTCGTTGAAATGAAACTTGAACGAATGAATTTTTTTATCAGCTTTGCATGTTAACACATCAACTACTCTTGCCTATACTAACGCCTTTTAATGTTTAAGAACTCAATAAGATAGTGCCTCATCAGTTTGAGTTGAAAAGCCTCCCCTGAGGTAGCGACAGTGCACTCCAGCGCCTGAGTTTGAGTACGGCTCGTGTAGGGTGATGTACAATATATGTACTTCATAATATGTATGTTGAGTATTGAGTATTGAATATGTATGTATGTTATACATATGTAATAATATGTATAAATGTTGAGGCAAGTACCGCGACCGACTGCGGCTGAGTACCCACAATAATTAGCTGAAAGTTCATGAAGAATGATATGAGTTCTCATAAATAATAAACCCAGTCATCTGTATCGGGTGTCGCTAGGTCCGCAATATTTGTACGATCGTACCGTTTGCGTTTGCTCGTCATTTGCTAATTCCCCTATGATCAGTTGCGTTGTTTTTGCTGAAGCTGAACAACTGCTGTGTTGCTGAGCTTAAGTTGCGTTGGGCTGAAGTTCTGCGTTGGTCTGATGCTTTAGTTTGGCTGGCTTACTTTGCCTTGCATTAATGTTGAAGCGGCTTCGTCTGTTCTAGTGGTCGAGCGAAGGAATTGTATGTATTTTTAATTTTCCTTACCGAAGAACCTTTGATGCCGCCCATGCCTTTATTGTTATACAACATCACACTGTGCCTTTGATGTCGCCTTTGCTGCTTATTTCATTCCATATTCGTTTATAAATTTCATCCAGATCTCTGTATTACATTACACGTGGATTTTATTTTTGACAAAAATTTGCTTGAATGGAAATGGTAATTTTTGAATCTTAATTATTGACTGTTAAGACTGCGTTCACGTAGTGTTTATAGCTGTATCTTTATTTGAACTGACCCAGGCAGATGGTGAGAATATGGGTGTTAAGTGACTTAAGTCATTTCCTGGACGGGAAATATCGCTGGTGCTGCTTACATATGTACATTCTCGTAGCATCATTCTCGTAGTATCATTCTCTTCTTTTACTTCTTTTATGACCAGTTATAGGGGGAGTGTTGATTATCCTTGCATTGTGTGATAAGCAAGCGATAAGCGCCTTGCAGTGAAATCGCCCTATTCCGCAAACCGTGTTAATTTATTCATTTGCCGTTTTTTTTCTTTACGGGTGCTTTCCAGTAAGGCCCAAATGGTGCAGCCAAAAAAGACGCATTCTTTCTCTGTAACAATGTTTGCTCGCAGCAAAATATATTCAAATAAAGATTGTGTTAACTGGCGTCGTGAATGAAATTGTACTTATTGATTTGCTTGCGTTCGTTTCAGTGCAATTTTAATGGAGTATCTAACGGTAATTGTGTTCAATTTATGCAGAAGGAAACCATGGCGGGAATTAGCGCGACATTTCGGGACTCAAGAGACGAGCTCGATGTGTGGCGTCGCACTGTCGCATGCAGAGAGGATATTGCGAGCCCATAGCGGACATCTAAACTGTAGACTCTTCTGCACTTTAGGAACGACTTTTACACGTTGAGTCTGCTCCGAGTCAGAATCTTCTATTACTTGCGAGTTGGGTTTCGATATGAAGCGCTTCAGTTTTAGCAGGGTGGCCCAGTGGTTAAATTTAAGAGTACCAAGATTGGAGCAGAGAGGCGCGGGGTTGGATCCCAGCTCTGTGCGCCAGTTTCTGGTCAGAATCGGCAAGGAGGCTTGTAAAAACGTTCATCTTAATTATTTATTGTACCTATTACTGCAGCCTGAATCTTGACGTGCGTGCAGTATATTCTCCCGACCGCTGATCTGTGGCTGCTGCAGACATGGCGGTTACCGCTGTCGCCACGAAGCTGCCGTGCTGCACGAGGCTGTCGTGCTGCACTGCGCTGCACGAGGCTGTCGTGCTGCACGGTGCTGCGCAAGGCAGCAGTGCTGCACGGTGCTGCGCAAGGCAGCAGTGCTGCGCACAGCTCAGTGCAGCAGCAGTGTCCCTGATACCAGCGCCGTGTGTCGTGCGTGCCTCCCTCAGTTGTACTCGCGTCGCACTCACAGCGCTGCTTGCTGTTCTCTTGCGTCGTGCCGGATTATCGTGCGCTGTATCGTGTCATGTGATGCACTCTAGTACATTAGTAGATTATTTCGTCATCATAATGTGGCTCTTGTGTGATCATGTGGTGGCTTTTGTCGTGAGTTAGTCAAATTGTTGGGTACGATGAGAACGAGAGCATTTGAAGCGTTAATTTACACCGCAAAAGTATTTTTCAGTAAATGAAATATAGCTTGCAATTCTACATCGATGCTAATGATTTTCTCCAACAATAGAAGTGAATCACGCCCCCGCAAGTGAAATATTATATTCTTGATTTTTCGCTGAACTTTCGCCATGTCTAGAAATCCGAAATATTACACAGCTGTAACGCAGTAAAACTTGAACAGATTCAAGAGATCGATTGATACTAACTTTCGTAATGTTTTGTATCAAGTGTTTTTACTATCATCAAATTTCAGGCCTATCGAATGCTTCAGAATTTGTAATCTAAACCAGTGACTTGGCCGCTCAGAAGTTCAAGCGCTAGCACTGCATGCGGACGCGCTGGCGTAGAGTTCCGTGATACCAACCGAACACTTGAACTGCGATCTGAAATTCGAATGTCATATTCTGTTGTGATCAGGATCATGGTAAATTTGACGCTGAAAGTGAATACTGAAGCGGTGATACTGGCTATGGTGGTGTGTTCGAGTCAAGAATTGATTGGCTTGATATAAATATTCGTATCGTTAAAATATTGGTTCGTCCTTGGCATGCGTTCGCTATGACCCATCTTCGTCACGAATTCATTTTTTGTAGGTGATAGGAGAAAAAGTGTGCATGACAGCGCTATTTTCCTACCTCTGCAAGTCCAGTTATAGTACCTTCAGCTAACAAAACACTATTAAAGTACCGCTGTAAAACTAGCAAATTACGCCATTTTTAATTCCATTCTCGTATTAAAGCCGTACTGCATTGTTAATGTATTCAATCGGCTCTTATACTCATAATTATCCTCTCAGAATCATCATATAAGTAGCCTTCATATCCTTTAGTTCAAATTCTGAAACAACTTACAGACTTGGTGGGGAAGATGCAGCTCCAGGTTCACTACGTTTTAACGCTTAATTGACACGATGATACGCGTGCAGTTTTTTCTCGATTGGGATTTTTTATCATATAATTGCAGTGATTGATGTGCAATTATTTGTTTGGCATGTCTCACCGGATAATGAAAGTATCTTAGATCTTCACATGCAAATTTAAGAAGGATAGAATTTCTGAATAGGTCAAATATGAACCACCCTGAACGTTCGTTGCATTTACTATTCGTAACTATGACTCTTGCGGACGGTGACTGATCACATGCTGTACGAAATGGCGTTTTGTTGTGAGATATAACTATATAGTACCAATTAAGGAGGCGTAGTATTTTGCAAGTACATAAACATTTTCGACCTTCCAGCCACCGCCGACCAAATCTCTGCTTGGATATATATCAGTTAAATCCCCATATTGTCACGCGAGCAATTTTCAACCATTGTTCAACTATATTGCATTGAGACAGGTGAACTATCTTCTACCACCATTGGTAATTCATTCAGTCACTCAAATAATATTACACTGTTCAAGTATTTAATCATAGATCATTAACCGAATTCCAACATTAAAAGTCGCAAGTGTCGCTGGGCATGAAATCAAATCCTTCGACTAGATAAAAAATATTGGGATTATTAGGATTCAAATAGATATAATTGAAGTGCAATTATATCTCATATAGAAGCTTATCTATTTAATTCGTGGTGCGATTCTCTATGTAAAAAAGTCTAAATTTACATTAAAAACTGCATGCACTTGTTGATCACTGTGCTATTCCTGCGTATGTGGTAGTATACTTAACATTTTATTCACAGCCACTTATGGTTGAACGAGTGGTTGCAATTTGATCTTTGCTGATAAGATAAGACCATGGCTTGTGCTTTTCATGTAAAGATTATTGACTTAACTTCACCATGACTTCTGTATATTAATAAAGTTTTACCTACACTAAAAGCATTTCTCGAGAAGTGATTGTGCGAGCCTCATGTTCTTGTATTCACAATAGCATTTCGCTTGAGGCTGCATTCAGTGAACTAGCAATTATGAAATTAAATCGCTATTTTTCAGCCTTACCTAGTTGTGTTCATTGGGTGTTTCTATTTTTAGCTCATGTTTCCAAGTTAACATAAAGCCTTCTTTATCTTGTTCGTGGAATCTTCTGTGGTAAACTTAAGTATTCGTTTATCATGTGCAATACATTTTGGCAGGTAGATAGGTACGATCTAACAGAAATCGTCAGCAAATATCCGTTTAGGAACAAGTAAGGGTAATTACTTAGAACTGCAATCATCTCTTGTAGGTCACGAAAAATCGGCAGGAAGATTTATACACACGTCAGTTAATTTTAACCTACAGGAGTTCGATCGAAATACATTATCTACTCCGCGCAGTTTAATGCAACATTGATAACTGTAATCTTGATCGTCATCAGAATGCGAGCGTAAAATAATAATGTCCAAGTAGAGATTAGTTACGTGATCAGATTAAGAAGTGTTCACATTACTTTTCATGACACTTCTAAACATTTTCTTTAATGCGTTCGACACTGGTTGTTGTAACTGACAATTTATATTTAGCTGAACTGGAAGTTTCTCCATCAAGACTCGCGTCATGAGCATCTGTGAGTAACAACCGGACGTCAACACCTCACGTGCTGTGTCCATGACTCATGCTGCGTACGCGCACTCTTGCTATAGTCCAATTAATGAACTCTTACTATGAGGAGTAGTTACAAGACTTGATATAATTGATAACTTTAAGTCAATTAACTTAATTTAATTTAGAAGAAATACGTAGCGAAATTTCAATAGTTTTATTGTAATTGTTTGAAGACCAACTCCACTATCAACCAAACCTAAATTGCCAAAAAAAAAAACGAGTGAAGTACCATAAAATCCTATCGATTACAGTTTCGAGCGGACAGGAAATGCTCCAATAAGCGTTGTTTAGACAAAATTTTCGTTCAAAAATATGCACCAATTTCAATATCGTCAAATCTGATCACTTAAATGGAACTTTACATAGAATATTCGGTCACTATAGTAGTTAAAATATTCTCAATAGTTATTATATTAAGGCATCATTGTGTAGCAAAAAGCTTGTGTTATGAGCGAGTCTTGTTTTGTCCGGAGTCTCAACTGCCATCACATTGATGGAACTTTATATGCAGGCTCAACGGTCATGTGCATGCTGAATGAGCAGATTCTGTAGGAAATGACACGTTTTGTTGTGAATAAAACTCTAACAATGAGACAAATTGTTTTGCAACTTTTGCAATATTTTCGAATTTTTGTTTCATGATGACATGTTCAGGCTCAATACTCATATCATTGAAGAATGATTTGTGTTGTGAGCGCAGTGAATTTAAGTGCAGTAAATAGAAGAATCATTGTGTTATGTGTTGCGATGACATGTTCAGTCTCAACAGTCATATCATTGAAGAATGATTTGTGTTGTGAGCGCAGTGAATTGAAGTGCAGTAAATAGAAGAATCATTGTGTTATGTGTTGCGATGACATGTTCAGTCTCAACAGTCATATAATTGAAGACTGATTTGTGTTGTGAGCGCAGTGAATTGAAGCCCAGTAAATAGAAGAATCATTGTATTGTGAGCCCAGTAAATAGAAGAATCATTGTGTGTTGCAGTGAACAGCGAGGCGAACGCTCGGCGCATCGCGCTGGTAGAGTCGTGTTTCGGGGCGTCGGGGCAGCCGCTGGCAGTACCCGGCCGAGTGCTGGTGGGCGAGGGCGTCCTTACCAAAATGTGTCGCAAGAAACCCAAGCCGCGACAAGTTTTCCTCTTCAATGACATCCTCGTCTACGGCAACATCGTCATGAGCAAGAAGAAGGTAGATAACACTGCGTTATCACTTCCTTATTCTTCTTGATTGATTTTGTGTCTAAATTTGATTTCTTGCTCCACCATAGATTAATTTTCTCGTTCCCGACCCTGATTTATGCTGTGAAATTTTATGTGTTTTTACGTTGTTTGTAAATACGAGGTTCATCCTTCTTTCCTCCCGCCATGGAATTTAGCTTGACATTCTAATTTACATTGTCGGCATACCTAAGATGAATTTTGTAGCCCACGAAATTTATCTTTTGCATTCTGATAGCCATTTTCAACATATCTATGTTGAATTTATCAGCCCATGTAATTTATGAAAATGGAGCTCATCTGACATTATTTCCACTTGCTGTAGTGTCTTTTTATTTGGAAAGTATTTTCGTTTATAGTACAAAGCCACAATGACTATTATATATTCTACTTTTTCAGTTTGCACATGCTTACTTAATTATCTAATTAGTGTTTGGAAAAACTTGTCCAGCAATTCCTGTAAGAGAGCTTGTCCATATCAGTAAATCTGGTATACTTGGCTTCACTGAAAACCTACATGAAATTTAGATAATTAATTGAAGGACATTGCTACCTGCTCATGTACAATTTATTGCATGGAATATATTTTATAGTTACCTATATGGTTTTATATTCAAAAGACCGCTAAGCACAAAACACTGTGTTCCCTGACAGTACAACCAGCAGCACATCATTCCACTGGAAGAAGTTCAGCTGTCATCTCTAGACGACAATGGCCGTGAGTACAGCAGTCAATAATTAGTGCAATCAGTGATCATGTTAACAAGCTATAGAGAAAATCACGGCATGCGCTGAGACGTCTGTGGAGCATTCATATGTAGGATATTTTCTTTTGGTAATACATGTGAATGCTATTCATAAAGAAATTGTGGATGCGATCCATGAATAAGCGAATATTGTCACATCTTTGGTTCATTAATACTACTGAAATGATTAAATATTTTTAAAATAATATTTTTTTGGCATATTGATTAGTAAGATTTATTTATTTGGCTTATTGATTTAGTATAATATGAACAATGAAGTAAGAATATTACTTAAGAAGTTGAATCCTGAAGCACGCATAGGGCGGAACAGGAACATGTCAAAATTGTATGCTAATAAATAACAACTTAGTTTAATATGTAAATAGTTGTGTTATAATATATAAGGCAATATTTAATACACATAATGAGACGTTATAATTGCCCAACAGAGCACCGCAACGGTTGGCTCATCAAGACTCCTACGAAGTCCTTCGCTGTGTACGCCGCCACCGCCACCGAGAAGACCGAGTGGATGGCACACATCAACAAGTGTGTGCAGGACCTGCTCAACAAAAGTGAGTGGCACACATCAACAAGTGTGTGCAGGACCTCCTCAACAAAAGTGAGTGGCACACATCAACAAGTGTGTGCAGGACCTCCTCAACAAAAGTGAGTGGCACACATCAACAAGTGTGTACAGGACCTGCTCAACAAAAGTGAGTGGCACACATCAACAAGTGTGTACAGGACCTGCTCAACAAAAGTGAGTGGCACACATCAACAAGCGTTGAATTGTGCTGACTCTTCAGTCATCTATATTGGCATATTGTTTGCCAGCTCGTGAACGCAGGAAAGCTTAAAAAAGTATAATAATTGGAATAAAATTATTATTTAATATTATTTTATTATAATTATTGAAATAAAATTATTTCAATAATTGCTAGGATACATAGGCTGAAACTCAATTTTTTTGCGCTGTGACGTTACAAATAGATGTATGTAGGTATTTCTTAGGTCCATAAGAAAGTTATTATTATATTCATAACATCATTTCCTACACAAAATTTTTAGTCAATTAGTTACCTTTAATTAAAGAAAGGTTCTTCCAGCTCCTTTGTTGGTGTTGTGCTGTAACACAGTGTGATGTGCTGTAACACAGTGTGATGTGCAGTAATGTAGTGTGATGTTGTTGATGTTGCAGGTGGCAAGAAGGCCGCTGACACTCACGCTGCCGTCTGGGTCCCTGACGACGCTGCCACCACATGTCAGCACTGTCAGCGCGTCCAGTTCAACGTCATCCAGCGCCGCCACCACTGCCGTGCGTATCTCAGCGTCCAGAAGCCTCAATAATACGCATATTTTTATTAGTTATGTTTAGCATAACATATCATAGTGAAGTCGGAGCTGAAGAATTGGCCTGATATGGCCTGTTGCCGGCTCTTGTAATTTTCGTGACTTGTTCACAGGAGATCTTAATACAGGTCCTTCGAAGTTTTAACTTCTGACTAAAATATTAGGCAATGGTTTCTGTTTTGCATGATATTTTTAACTTGAATCTTGTTAAATGAACGATGTATCTAAATAAAGTTTGGTGATCACTGGTTGCTTGTGGATGCTGTAATCCATGCACCGTAACCCTGGTTGTGATAACCCTGGTTGTGTACAGGGAAGTGTGGTCGTGTGGTGTGTGGTGGTTGTACTCCACGTACCATAACCCTGGTTGTGTACAGGGAAGTGTGGTCGTGTGGTGTGTGGTGCGTGCAGCAGCAAGAAGATCCTACTGCCGCACCAGAGCAGCAAGCCGCTGCGCTGCTGCCTCGCCTGCTACGACGAGGTCAGCGCCGCGTCTAAAGCTGGACTCGGCGACAACAGGCCTGCTGGCGGTCAGTTATATTACTATTATTTTATTTCTATATAGATACTCATGATAGTTTCCCTTTTAATGCTCACTCTTAACAGTCAATTCTAAATGTTCTTGATCCTCGTAAAGTATAGCGATCTGATTCATTATTTTACTCCTAAAATATCACTCATGATAGTTCACTCGTATTGTTTACTCTTAAGAGTTCACTCTAAACGTTCTTAATTCTTGCAATGTATTGCTGTCAGCTTCATTATTTTACTCTTATAACTTCAGTCCTGATAGTTAACTCGTGGTGCTTTCTCTTAACAGTTCACTCTAAATGTTCTTAATCCTCGTAAAGTATAGCGATCAGCTTCATTATTTAACTCCTAAAATTTCTCTCTTTTTTACTTCACTCGTAATTCTTTCTCTCAAAAGTTCATTCGTAGTGCTTACTCTTAACAGTTCACTCTAATTGTTCTTAATCCTCGTAACGTATTGTTATACCGTAGAAGCAAGCGATATCCTCTTGAGTCTTGACTGAAAGTTGACGGTTAATTCGTCCGCATTGGACGGATTGTGCTCCTATAGTTTTATGCATTCCGTGCCTCTGATAGTCACTCAATCACCATGACTCGTATTATGTAGTCTCAAGCTTATAATCTTATTCATTTTATTGAAATATTCAGTGCCGTACTCCAGATCTTTTGCTTCAATCTTATGCAGCTAATTATTTAGCTATTCATCTCACGCTTATTGTCGGACGGCTTTTACGAGTGATTTTCATGCTATGCTTTTTAATCATTCGTTTCATGAATTGTGCTCTAAATTTCATGTATTAATCTTTGCCCTAAAATTTAATGCTGGTAATGCTATGCTTTAAATTTCATGCTGTAAATCTTATGTTATGAAATTCATTGTTCTTGAAGTTGATTGTGCCGCAGATCGAGGAGTTCTGTGCACTTTTTTTCCCTAGCTCGTAGTTAAAATCTCGGGCTCCACTGCACATTCGTGTGGCGACCGCAAGCGATAATTGTTCACTATATTATGAGTCAATGTTTTAGTGGCAGAACTGCGAGAGACTCAGCCTTCTAACTTCAGTTATGCTTCAAATTCATCGTAGCGGACTGAACTCCTTATATTTTGCTCTGGGTTACTTTTCGCTTGAACATGAACATTATCTTAATGTTTATTATGTTTTTAATTTAATTTCTGCTGCTTGAATTTCTTCGTGCTGGCTTCGTGATGAGTATTTAATTTACTGGGGATGCGCATCAGAGTCCACGGAAGACCTCATGGAATTTGACGAGATGATCGACGAGCGTCTCTTGGACTCGTACCTCGACCCTCTGGAGGAGGACGACAGAATGCTGGGAGACTTCGCCTCCGAGTGCGACGAGGACGAAGAGCTTCACGACGACAAAGACGAGCTTCACGACGGCGATGACGAACATGAAACTAAAGAAGCCACCACAAACGAGGCTGTGAAAGACGAGCAAGGTTCCAAGACTGGAAAAAGCGAGTTTCCAGAAGGGAATGTCAAAACTGGAATTGAGAACGAGACTCTCCAGAAGACAGACCGAGATGGTCCAGCAGTCGCTGCCGATGAGATTCCGATTGTGGCTTCGAACTCCGAGAAGAAGAAGGAAAGTAAACACCAAGATGAGAATAAGGAAGTCAACTCGTCAATGTTTTCTAAATTGACGCCAAACTTGAGCGATTTAAACCCAAAACATCTTAAAGTTCCTAAACGCTTTAAGAAGCTTGGCAAGATGGTCACTCGGTCCCTCGGTTCTGCAGGCCCTTCAAGCAAACCCAAGACAGAAACTGTGCAGGAGAACCAAGAAGAGGTCAAGCCTGACGAGGAACAAGTTGCTGCCATTGTCGAGGACAGTGATGATGAAGACGTCGACCTGGACCACGAGACGGACGTGAATGACGAAGCATCGCTTATTGAGAACTACTACCTGACGAGCTCCTTCGTCAGCTACGCTGCCATGGCCCAGGATAGAGCCCTTGCTGCGAGTGAGGACCCTGCTGGGGGCGAGCAAGTCGTCCAAGTTGAGGTGCACGATGAGCCGTCGCCTCCACAGCCCCAAGATTCTGTGGCCATCGCGCAGGGTTCTTGGAAGAACCCGGCCACCGTAGCCCTGCGAAATGCCGACAAGGATGAAAGTAATTCAAACGCTTCAGTTCCGTGCAAGCTCCGTGGGTGCTTCTGATTATTCTTTATTTGAGCCTTTTGCCTCATTCTACTTATATCGTTAATGATTGGTATGATTTGTGCTGTAATTTATTTACTGTGGATTGATATTGATTCTTCTTGTGCTGCCGTTCATTTTGAACGGGCGATTTTTACACTTTGTCATATCGCGTTTTCTTTTGATGATTAAATGTTTATAAATTGCATGAAATTTTGGGGCTTACGTATGACAAAGACCAATTGTGGTTGCACCTCCTTTTCTTGTTCGGTGGCGCAGCCGTTGTTCTTAAAGTTTTTTCCCACAACAGAGGAATTTCGGCCATATTGCCTCAATATGTGCTAGCCAGAAGGCCTACTGGGACATTGAATTTTGATTGAAACCCAGTTGCTGACAAATATTTTCGTTACATCGCTAGTTTCCAATCAAATTGCACTTGAGAGTACATTGTCAGAGTGACACAACAACAGGCGCACTACCAGCTCTGTTCTTATGTTAGTTCTGACTGGCGTAATTTGATCACAGTGTTCGTTATTCGTGACGTGACGATCCTGCTGCTAATTCATGACTAAAGCTACCCTCTCCTTGATTATATTCGAGGCTCTGTAGAGAAATGACGGAAACTAATTACGAGCGCAAGGTTGCGACAAGATCTTTCAGCTGCCGGTAGCTGAAAATCAATGAAGCTTTTCTGACAATGTAGGCATGAACCGTACGAACAAATGAAAAAAAGTCGGGAAATTGAAGTTTCTACAAAAAATTTGCTCGCTATGTTAAATTTCCTATCCTTCTTTGGTTTGCATTCACGTAAATTGTTCACATAGCTTTCGATTTGGACGCCTATTGATTTCAAATTTTGGAGGCTTACTTTCTTTATCTATGATTGCTGATTGCTCTGCCCAAATTCATTTTGCTCTGCCCATATTACAATTTTTTCATTTTTTTATATTTGAATTTTTTTCGCGTGTTCATATGTAGAGGTATGTTCAGTTAGTAGGGCTCTTCATTATTTAACTTCTATTGTTTTTATCAGTAATCGATGCTAATTTTTTTTCAGATTTATAACAGTTTCTGAATTGGAACTGCGAGTTTGTTATCTGATGTGCTCTGAAAATGATGGATCCTACCCACGCTTCGTGCACTAAAACAATAAACGCGAGATCATCAGAACAATTAGCATTGTGGTTCTAGCTTTTTTGGTGACTTGGCATCATAAATGAAATACCGCATGCAAACTTTTTTACATGATACGCAAGAGAAAAATTTAGGAGTTGATAGAAGAAAACATTTTTTAATACAAAGTATTGACGTTTCTTTAAAGAGACAAGTTTGGTGCAGTAACGCTGCATAGAAGCAAGAACTTGAGCGATTCTGTCACTCCACTTTGCCTCGCATTTCTTGGTTAGCGTTTTCCTGTTCCGCAGCGTCAACCATAAACGCAATGCGCGCTATATTCACCTTGCCTGCGGTGAGACACACTCTATAGCTCGTTTTATCCCAGCCCTTTCTGCCATAGTCTCCCATACTTCCCATAACTTTTCTTAACCATTATCTTTCATTAGTTTATTAGACTCTCTCTTTCATAAGTGGGCTGCAGTCCTGACATTCGTTACCGAATCTCTCACGCGACGCACGGAAAAATGCAACCGTGCCACTCCTGCTGCTCGCTCCGAAACGTTCCCTTGAGATTACCTTCATGTCCCACTACAAAATTTTTTTATAAGGAACATGGCAGTTTTATTACCATGTCATCTATGTCAGCCGTGTCATCTATGTCACTTGTATCACCATGCCATCTATGCATAGCTCGGTGATCAGGAAAATTTAAATCGGTGCCAGAATTATGCCTTCAGATTGAAAATTCCGCCTAGAAGAAATTCCTTTATATTTTTCTTGACTGCATGCGATTCCGTGGGCGTTTGTGCGTCTGAGTTTACACTCACGTTTAGACACACGTTCTGATCTGTTTAGCGCATTTTCTCATTAATGGAAAAAAGGCGCTATTGTGCTCGCCATGTCCATACGTCTGTCTGTCCGTCTGTCTGTCCGTCTGTCTGTCCGTCTGTCTGTCCGTCTGTTTGTCCGTCTGTCTGTCCGTCCGTGACTTAACGTTTACGTCGATTTTAAGAAGCGGGCATGCCTGTATCAAAGATGTGACATCTATACCTCTAATGCACTGTACTAATCGCAATGAAAACTGATTTATGCATGAGAAAATGCGCTCTCTGTCACTCACTGCATTGAGTACTAAGTTATATTTTTTAACATTTACATGAATAAATAGGCTTTTTTTCACGTGTCCGTCTCCCCACAGACGCCCGCGACATGGCAGTGAACGACAACTCCAGCGACGACGACTCGGACGACGAAGGAAACCCTGGCGATGATGCCGCGCAGCCTCCCATGCTCACGGTGCGCAGTGTTGATACTTGGGACTATGGTGTTGATACTTGGAGCTGTGGTGTTGATACTTGGGACTATGGTGTTGATACTTGGAGCTGTGGTGTTGATACTTGATGATACTTGGAGCTGTGGTGTTGATACTTGATGATACATGGAGCTGTGGTGTTGATACTTGGAGCTGTGGTGTTGATACTTGGAGCTGTGGTGTTGATACCTGGAGCTGTAGTGTTGATACTTGTCTGTATCTCCTTATAGTTATGTTGTGTTCAAAATTTGTTGTAAATGTCATGGTAAAGTTTTTACATATTTTGTATAAATTAATCCTAAATCAGGTTAAACGTCTTTTTTTCTGGATTGTGAAATATTTTGAGAAATATTCCTTTTTCGTGGTATTCCTTCGACATTCCTGGCTTCCTATCTCCTCACGAGCACAATGTTTCCCCACAAATTCGCTGCTTAGTGTTTCTCATCATCTTCAGGAGACAATGTGTTGGTTGTCACTAAATTTGTTAGTTGAAATTCCTACTGCGCAGGTCTTTTTTGAATTTTTTTGCAGTTGATTGTTTATTGATCGATTCCTCTTTACTGCAAAACCTGCGGCTCGCTTCGAGCTTTGTACCGACTTGTTGTGAGTTTTCGTCCAGCGTTTTGTGCTTCATTAATTAAAAGGTTTAATGTCTATTTATCATATTTTCTGCTCTCTTTTCGTTATTAAACTCCTGTTCAATTTTTGTCTATTTCTCATTCTACTCGTTTCTTTTGGAGTTTAATTCCATGATCTTGCAATCCATTTTGTTAGTGATTATCATGGCACTTCAGAGCGCGACTCCCTTGTATTTTCTGTTGAAAAATAGCATCTCCTCTATCTTGAGATTCCTTCTCAAGTGTTCCACATTTCCCCTACAGTTCGGAGAAAGTAATGAGGCACAGCGAATTATGGCTGCAATGTAAGTCTTGGTTTTGTATCGAACTTATTATCTTTCTATTGCGTTGAAGTCTTCTTACCGAACGTTAGTTCCCAGTTCTTCCCTCAGTTGATGTTGATCTTCTATGTATTGTTTTGGCTTGGGATCATGAGAGAATTAACGAGTGCGTTTGTATGCTCAATAATTGAGTGTTGTGATGCATTTACGTCTGCACCCCTAGACCAATGAGTTGCTTTATCGTTGTTTTTAGCACATTTTCTCGTTTAAGGAAAAGAAGGCGCTATTGTGCTCGTCATGTCCGTCTGCCCGTCCGTCCGTCTGTCCGTCCGTCCGTCTGTCCGTCCGTCCGTCCGTCCGTCTGTCCGTCCGTCTGTCTGTCCGTCCGTCCGTCTGTCCCTCTGTCTGTCCGTCCGTCCGTCTGTCCGTCTGTCTGTCTGTCTGTGACTTCACGTTGCCGAGTATCCATATACTCGGCAACGAGAAAATGCGCTCTCTGTCACTCACTGCAGTGAGTACTGATATATTTTTTCTATAACTTTGGTTCACGGTTCACATTAATTTGTTTCATTATTTACTTATTTTTCTTATATTCTCTCGCGTTGAGTCCGCGAGTAAGCATCTGTGTTGTGTAACATTCTCTGCCCAGTGCTTGCAGCTCATCCGCTCGCGTTACTTTCACTCCCTCCATTTGTTAGCCAGGCACAAGTTTTTGAAATGAAAGTTTTTACCATGTGTGGATTTTTTGTTTACGTACAACTTGTTTAGGATGATTGTTCTCGTTACTTATTACTGCGCCGCTCCTCACAATTGACTCCGTCATTTGTTGTCGTAACAAATTATTCAACTTGTTTAGCATGATTGTTCTCGTTACTTATGACTGCGTCGCTCCTCATAATTGACTCCCTCATTAACTATCGTATTCAAGACTATGGCTACCTTCTCGTACATTGGTGCTTGGAATCGCACAAAAAAAATTTTTCTGACGCCTACGTAACTATCCCATTCAAGAGAAAAAAAATATTTTGTCGGTATCCTCGTGATATATTTTTGTCCCACTTGCTCCAGGTATTCCCACCCGCCTTCAGTAGACTACCTTTCTGGCAACCACTCACTTACTCAACTTGACGCACCTGTGCCGTCTTAAATGAAATGAAATCGCGGAGTGAGCAAACTAGCTGAAGGGTGCACAGCTATATGTGGCAGAATTTCTAATACACGTTTTTTTCAGACTATTGTTTTAAAAAATCAACTTAATTGTAAGTTGGAAAAGTCGTACGTGTTAATAGAACGTCTCTTGTAGCCGCCTGTGTACACTCTTTATGAAGTCGTTCACTCTGCATTTGACCTTTTTTCGGTTTTCACTGTCAGGGTCTTTATTGTCAGAATCAATTTCGAAACGAAGGTGGGCTGTATTCATTTTTATTTCATTTTATTTGCTCGAGGAAATTGGTAAGTTCACAAGCTTGGTGCGGAGACGCAGGTAATAAACTGCAGGCATCGATGGCTCAGAATATCGTTATGCATTTGCCTTAAGCGCCAACTGCTAATTTTATAGACACGATAATTACGTGCCGCATTCACAGTCCTATCCATTTTCATTCATGCTGAGTCTGTTCAACTTCATCAAGATAAAATACGCTTATTCGGGATGGGAGATGACGCTTTCTCCAGTGATATTCAGACTGTGGGACTTCTTTGCCTCCGGTTGTGAACTACGAACCTAACCTTGCCTCTTCTTGCAGACGTTCTTCTAGGGCTGTTAGCTATGAATTTAACTTCAGAATAATACATCGGAATGACATTAGGTGTTGCCTGGGTCCATTCTGAGAGCTTAACAAACGTTCTTGAATTAGGCATCTAAGCTAGCAATGCCTAGCGCAACGTCTTGTAAAGACAGATCTTTCGTTACGCTTGTTCCGTTTTCCTCTAAGACTCCTACAAGACCGCGCAAGACCAAGCCTATTGTCTGGTATAGTAATCAATGCCTTACTAATAAAATTGGTCTTAGTTAAACCGAATCGTTAGATTGGAAAAAATATCAGCAAACCGGTGGCATGATATATATATGGCAAGGATCTTTCTCCTCTTTACTACTGTTGCCGGTGTCCTCTTTCTACATCCTAGTCCCTGTGTTCTTATGGATCAATTTCTCTGCCTCCGCCGTCGGAAGGCACTCCGCATAGCAGCGTCTCTAGTAACCCAGTCTTCTCAAGCGCGTTATGTTGGTGTCGAGCGCCAAGTCCTATCAAGCAATTAGCCTATCCAATATCAGTCGCTGGCACTGTTAATCTTCTTGATTTGCAACATGAGGGAAGAGTTCCAGCACCTGAACGTGAAGTGTTGGAAAGAAATAATGTAGCAAACTAACTTGAAATTTGCTTAATAAAGTTTGGCTTGAATAGATCATCGTGTTGGCTTCGCCTTTTCTTGAGTTAGCCAGTACGGTGTAAATTGTTTAGTAAGCTTGTATTAAATCATTGCCCAGCTTTGTGGTCTGTGGAATGAGTCGCTAACTTATTGTCTAGCAGAGATGCAATATTCCAAGTTCCTCCTATCTTGGAAGATTGTTTCTTGTATGTTTTTTTTATGTTCTTCCTGCACCCTAATTTCTTCTCTATCTCTTTTTCTGACTTGTCCTATCTTTCCTGTTCTGCCGGTATTACTTGCTCCTGCTCTCTTCTCCACTCATCCTCTCTCTCCTGCTCTCGTCCTCTTCTCAACTCTCTGGCCCTCCCACCTCAAGTATTAAGTTATGCTGTGCACAAGTCACATCTCATTGCGCCCATAACTAACGCCGTCCCTCCCCCTGCAGCAAACTATGAAGTTCTACGAGCGCGGCGACGCGGCGACCAACGCGAACGCTGAGGTCGGCGCTCCCGCTGCGCCTGAAGACGATGCGGCCGTCATCGACAAGCTCGTCTAACTGCGATAACCTCGTCGCCAGATCTTCCATTGTCTTCTTAAAAATATATTCCTTAATATTACGTTACAAATACTTGCTGCTGTAGGTGCCTAGCTCTTCCAGTTAATGCTCGGTCTGTGAAGTTGCTGCGACGCACCTGCTTGGTGACGTCTTAACATTGGCTACGCGTGCCTGAATCATTTATAATTCAGTACCATATCGATGGTTTTTGTTTCCTCTTTAATTACTACATAGAAAATAATCTTTTTTACAGAAAAATATTCTCTGGAGAAATTTTTAATGTTTATTTGAGGAATTATCTGGTGTGTAAAACCCGATCATTGAGATCCGATTGACGTAGCGGCCCCCTGCACGACGGATGGTCCTGTTATAGGAGGATGTCACTACTTAGGAATTTTTGTCTGCTTGTTGGTAGCCTGTTCGATGGGGCGGTCCTGCTTGCATTTCGAGGCAGATGATATGAACATTTGTTAACCGCAGCCAATCAAAGTGGGCTTATCTTGATGAGCGCCCATTTGCTCTTGTGCCTTTACAGACTGCAAGTTTGTTTTTATTTGGCCCTATGGTTGGTTAATAATTACTTTAGGAATTTTCTTTTGCTTATATTCTGTCAATGCTGGAAATTAACTGTTTTATTTACTGAACTTTGGTGCTGTATTGCATACATTCTAAATATTGCAAAAATTTTATGCAGTAATGCATCATAGAAAACTTTTTCACTGCAGTCTAGTGTTCGATTTTATCGTTGAGACACGAGTAAGTTTTCATTGTTCCAACTCTAGCATTTGTTGTTGATGCACTCAAGCAACGAAGCCATTAAGTTTTATTGTGTCTACAGTCTTTACTGATGTGCTTGCATGCTTTTTTACATGGAAACATGATAGAAATTACTTAGATGTACATTTTTATGGGGTGCGGGAACTCGAGTTTTTTTGCGGAAACTTGAGACTTCTTCACATGTTTCGAGAGAACATATATAACATATCATAAAAGTTCTCTCCTGCGAGAACATATCAGAAAATGATACGATTTATGGGTACGTTCTTAGAGACGTGATGCAAACCTCAGAGAAGTTGAACGGTTGCGTAAGAAAATGTCTGTGGCTCGCTCAACTGTTTGGTACGGAAAAGAATATTGTGAGAAGGTATAAAACTCTTAACTTCGCTCCTCAACCATGAATATTTTTGTTTAAAGCAAATCTTGATGCTTTGGTTTTTTCTTTTATGTAACTTTTTGCCAATGAAATGTTTATTCCGCGAGTCGATTTGAAAACGGTTTTATATTCTGGCCCCTGACGTTAATTAAGTTTATAACCTCAATTCTTTCTCAATATGGTAAATGTAATGTATGGGGAAATACGGAAGTCAGCCGATCATGTTGGCTGCTTCCACACTTCATGGTTTAATTACTGAACTCTCATTGCAGCGAAGTTCTTGAGTTAAATTTGCAAAAGCTATTCACATCTTGTCTCATCCCAACATTTTATTCGACGCGCTGTCACTGGAAATTCTTCGATTCTAGGTATGCCATCATTTGGGGCGGTGTGAGCGTGAATGGCTGTAAATATTACTAATATGTGTTGAAATTTGCTAATCTTGCGCTATGCTTTTCTCTATTGACAGTTATTCTCAATTATAAGAGTTGAATGGGTCGTTGTGACCCTTGTTACTTATTAAGCGATAATCTTATCGATGCGCCGTCTCGTCCAATGAGTGCCTTGCAGTATCCGTGACTGGGCGCTGCTGCCTCACGTAGCTTTAGAAAATAGTTCTAAGTGAATAATTCCTCCATTTGTGGGCTTGTCTACAATTGAACTTACCCACAAGAGCCCAATTTATGTTGTCGCCCATTACATTTATGGTATCAGTGAATGATTTATCCAGAGTCTTAATGCATGTTTTAATTGAGATTCAAGTAGTATCTTAGCCTTCTTAGGCTTGGGAAAATGTCAGTTGTATATGCAAAGGTCAAGCAGTATCTGCAATGTATCGGATTTTGATAGATTGTTAACGTGAGCTCAGAATATAGTAACGGTGGTAAATACGTTCCACGTGATCTTGCTACGTGGATCGTGTGTCGCCCATTAATTGAAATGCCGTCCGCGTGAATAATTAACTGCCTTTTCTCCGAACTATTCTGCTCGATAGTTGGAATTATTCTCAAGATTTGATTGATATCCCGAGCTTATCAAGTTTACATTACACGACAGTAGGAAGAGGTCCAATCCATTACTGAATAATATGGCAAAGAATGTTTGCTCATCACTAATTTGTTTTAAAACATTCCCTCTATTGGATATTATAAAGCCAAACTTGTCTCTTGCCTCATCACTTGTTGCGTTACTCCTGCAGTATTGTGCGCTTGTGACCTGCATGGCCGTATGTGATGCAATGAAAACCAGTTCTCCGATTGTGATGAATTTAATAGGAAAATTTCGTGAATAATTTTTATTGTGTAGTGTTCGTCCAACATACTTATTCTGTAGCATGCTAGGCAATTTTAAGCCACAAATGGACATGTTTTCTCGTAATTTGCAGTGCATTCGGACAGAACGCTCCTTGAACCTTAACGTGTCTTGATGTTTTCCCCCGAGAAGCGTTCCGTTTGTGAAATTTTTAATGATACTGAGCTTTAGTTTTATTATTTATCGCATGGAAACAAATAGAACCTGATAAAAGCAGAGTTTATATCACCGTTAATTCGACCTTTTTTTCTCCTTAATATCTGCAGAAGATGAAACTCGGAGTAACTTCGTAGAGATAAAATTAAAACGAATTTCAGATTGACATTTAGTCGTGTATTTACAGTCTTAATAAGTCTCGATGAAACTTCCTGAAGCATGTCGCTCACGTCTCCGCATCGACACCTGAATTCTTGTGTCGCGTCACGTGAGTCTCATCGCAATAAGCTCAGAATTAAGACACAAAATGCAAAGAGATAGCAAATAAAATATTAATATGAATATTCGGTTAGTGATTTTCAACAATAATTGTGGACTAGATGCTACAATGCCACATACATTTCACAAAAGGCAGTGAGTACGCGTTCGTTAACTAGCTGGTCGTCTCTTAAATCCCATGAAGATTTCGAAGAATTTTGATTCAAGAAAACCGTAGGAAAACTATTTGAGTTAACTATAATGTAGATAATCCAGCGGCAGCTGCAATATAAACCGCTAGCTGCCGATGCTTGGGTAGCGAACTCTCATTTCAAATCGCCATCACTAAGGCATATAGAGCTTCGATATTTTTAAATACAAATAAAGTGAATACGCTTTAGATGTATACCAGCTCCATATAACTCAATCAGTTGAAGTTCAGATGCGTTTCATTTTAGACAGATTGTGCAGATACGACAGTAGTTGAACATTTTTCCAGCTGAGTTCAAAAGTCGCGACAATCCCTTAGGGTACCCACACAGTGAAAGCAGGTTGCCAGCGTGCTGGTTACCTGCTGAGGCTGGCGCCTGAAACAAGCGCGAGAGGTTCACAGAGGAAGCAGGTTGCCAGCGTGCTGGTTACCTGCTGAGGCTGGCGCCTGAAATTGATATAAATAGGGCTGGCGCTGGCCTATTCGTACGGCTTTTCACTGTGAACACTTACATTATTATCCTATGTTCATTCTTGTGGCAGGTTGGAGAAGGTTGCCCGCGCGGGCAAACCTGCTTTCACTGTGTGGATACCCTTATAAATAGCAGAGTTGATGTAAAAAATATTTTGTATGAACATAGACACTGCAGGACGTATTACACGTACAATGATTACGCATTTGCCGCTCACGTTCGGTAACAAATTCCTCAGTAAGGCATGACGAGCAAAAAAATGAGTACTGCCTTCACATTTAAGTAAATCAAGTTCAATTACTGAGAGTCTCGTGTAAAAATAGGAATGCTTTGCTTTTACATAAAAGATCGTAATGCTAGGTATTTTGTCGGGAACTCCAGGAATTCATATTCTATTTTAGTGTTTTGAAAAATATTTCCCGAAGTGAGAATTTTGGATTCCCAGTGAATGCAATACTGCTTGCTAATCAAGTGAAGTCTGGTAATTCATTAAAGTGAAGTCATTAAAATATTTAAATTGAAAAGCTTGCGATGCGATACTGGCAGCAAGTGGATAAATAAAGCTTGCAGCTACTTTGGCTTGGAAGTAAATAAGTTAGGATAAAGGCGTTCTACGTGCTTTACTTGTTTCCGTCATTTATTATAATGTCATTCGCTGTGCATTATATGTATTATCAACTGTTTTATCGTCACCAGTTCAGAAGTTGCTGACGAAAAGGAACCGAAGGTCTCGGCTGAGTGGGTAGAGCAGGGTGCGACAGAAGTAACCGACTGGTTAGAAAAAGAATAAACCCGGGGGTTCCTCGGAGGCAACCGAGGGGTTAGACAAAGAAGAAACCCAGGGGTTCGACGGAGTCAACCGAGGGGTTAGACAAAGAAGAAACCCAGGGGTACTACAGAAGTAACCGAGGGGTTAGACAAAGTAGAAACCCAGGGGTGCGACAGAAGTACCCGAGGGGTTAGACAAAGAAGAAACCCAGAGAGAGAATAGCATGGCGCAGAGGTACATGGTGGAAGAACATCGAACAAATGCCATCGCTTCCCGCGGCTCTCATTCAATTCCTAGCTTAAGCGATACGAGTAAATATCTCTCTAAAAGACAACAACCATGAATATTTTTGTGCATGTTAATCTTATCTACTTATTGAAAACCGATACTTTGCTCTATGAAACTTGGTATCAGGTCAACAAAGCGATTCGTGGGCTCAACAATGACATCAAAGACAAATTGCGGGCTAAATTGTGGCGTTTCAGCGATTTTTTGTGCATATTTCTCTAGTCTATTCTGACTTTGTATAAACCTTGCTAGTATTAGCGGTTATTATTGAGGCAACAAGAGCATGAATGCACAGCGTCTGTCAGGAACACATCGACACAAAAGCTTCCCATGCACATCGCGCGGAATATTTAGTGTCATGGCAGTAAACATGGCCTCGCCTATGCCAATCTTTCAGTACGTGACGAAGCAGCAGAAACAACATCAATTCTAATCGGATTTGCACGACTTCATTTGAAAAAATTTTACTATCATCAAACGAGGAACAAAAGTCAACTGAAATCTGACTAAAAAACGAAGCACATTTAAATCATTAACACATTCTTAACCATTCCAATAATCTGAAAATTTTGAAAAATTACCGAAATCGAATGTTCTGGAAATTTCCATCACGAACTCGTCCTGGATTGAAGAAAAACTTCACTTAAATACGTCAATTTTGTCTCATGAATCATACCTGTCCATTCCCCATGTCAAGCCACGTGCTGCTCTAACGAAATATATAAACTCATTCCATAACGTGACATAAAAACTTCCTTACAATGTAGTTTAATTGAATGATTACTAAGATTCAGTGACAACAACTATCATTTTCAATCACGAACCTAGTTTTTTACTTCTTATAAATAGACACTCTATAATCCATCGTCTTCAATAACAATGTATTTAAATCCTCTTGAATACTTGTTCTCGGCGACTGTTTTACATGAGACGAGCGACGACAAGGAGCGAGACGAGCCCGGCCAGGGAGACGAGGGTGGTGCTGGCAGCATTGCACTCATCGTCCTTGCAGGAGCAGACCCACGTACGCGTGTTGTAGCCGCTCTTGTAGTAGCAGTTGCCGCGCTTGTACATGTCCTCGTCCTCGACGTAGCCGCATGCGCGGTGGATGCGGTTCTCTTTCAGGTCTGGAACAAGTTCGGTTCTCATGAATATGAATTACTTGACTAAATACATAAACTTGAATCAAATGACTTTTTATATAACTTCGTTTTTTTTAATTTAACGACGAATGCTTCATTAATGAAACTTACTTGCTTCGTTTTCTTCTTTCATGAATATTTCTTATATGCAAGTTATTCATCTCGGTCAGGGGCCATACTTTCAAAACTCGCTAAGTGAACGTAAGTACTTACGCTCTATTTTCTTGTCTATGATTGGTGGATTTTGCTTGAAAGCCCGTCAATGATTGGCTGATGAACTTACGATCTCTTAACTTTTTTTGAAAGTATAGGCCCAGGTTAACAATGCTTACTCGTGAATGCATCAGGCCGCTCTTCCCTTCTATGGATAGTCATTCAACTAACGCAAAAGATGCACGCGGCTTAAATGTATCGTTGAATTGACTCATCCTAATATCGATACAATTCCATGGGCCAGGTACCCGGAACTATAAAATTAATATATCCATAATATATATAAAATCCGTGCCAAATTGGGTTGCATTTTCCCTTAGAAAAATGTCCTGCTACGAATTAAGCGGCAAAAAGTATTTGATGTATACAAAGGCGTGAATTTTTGATGACAACGCTCTCCACTGCACGTGCATATTAACACGAACAAAGCCCGCAGTAAAGAACCATGAAGACAATATCAGTTATCGATAAGCGAACTAAAGGAAGATGGCTGAACAAGATATTACTGTCAATGTATGCAATCATAGGACTCGCATTTTGGGCTGCAAATCTAATGCTCATTGATAAAAAAAAAACGGAAGATGGCTGAACAAGATATTACTGTCAATGTATGCAATCATAGGACTCGCATTTTTGGCTGCAAATCTAACGCTCATTGATGAGTCTTCTCTTTCAATAATTCCTCCTTAAATTGAAAATAATTCAATTGCACGCAAGTATAACAGAGTTTTGAAAGTTTTGGCTTGCAAACGAATCTGGAAGAATAAATCAGTTTTTCTTGGATAAAACTCGTAGCATCCGTCAAATAATGTAGTAAAGCTTGAAATTTAAATTAAACTTAATTTAAAAATGAAACTTATTAAAAAAGGTCCCTTGTTATAAAATAGGCAGATGTGTGTACAAGCGTTGCTAGGAGTTATATATAAATTGAACTATAATATAAAAATAAGTAATTTGAACTATAATATATAAAGCTCAAGATTTAAGGTGAAAGTTTGAAATGATTAGAAAGTTTGAAACGGAGTATGATCAGATAAATTATCGTGTGTTTCGTTCACGAGTCATTTCGCCAGTTGCGAAACGAAGAAGTAAATTAAAAACAACTACTAAAACACCAACTTAAAAGTAATTTGTTGAACAACAATAGCTTAGGAAAAGTTTTTCCACGTGAGAGAGTTTGTTTACTCTCGCGGTTCCTGGAAAGAATGCGCTAACTGTTTTAGAAACGACTTAGTGATATGACGGTAGTTAAAAAGTAGATATATGCCATATATTTCCAATTGTGTGATTCAATTTTATATGATCTAGATTCTTTTTATTTTTTATTCAATTCAACAGCATCAGACTGTAAATAATCATGTACACTCTAAAAATCAATTTGTCTTTCGTTTCCTACATGACCAGATGAAATATTTCCTTTTTATTTTCAGGTGGTTTCAGATGAACAAAGATTACAATATTTACGATTTTTTCCTAAATAAATAAGAGACAACAACATTTTAAATTGTATCATCTCAATTTAAGCCCGGCCACCAAAGCTCTTAAACCAACATACATCAGGATGTGAAATTCCTCACTTTCCCTACACGCTCACCAGAAACTAATGAATAATTTATTTCTCGTGTCAAATACGAAAAAATTACGAGTATTTAAAACACCTGCATGGCAACGAATGATGCAAAAGGCAACTCGAAGAATAATTCAATTACGATTAGGTTAGTCATTAACACCTGCAGGTCAGTGAATGATGTAACGTAACTTGAGGAATAATTTCAATTACGATTAGGTTAGTTTTCAACACCTGCAGCTGAGTGAATGATGTAAAGTAAATTGAAGAATCATTTGAACACATTTAACAACGTAAAGCAACTCACTCTCTCCGACTTGTTCGTCCATGAACATGTGCAGTTTGCGGCACAGGGTGTACACGTGAGTGTCGTTCGTCTTGGAGTCACAATCGACCAGGGATTGCAGGGCTTTGGAGGACATGTCTTTGCATTCCGGCATTTCGTGGGAGTTGCACTCGTAGCATTTCACGGCCAGTCCTGCAAATGAAACAGGATTATTAATGATGGTATGAAAGGTTATTTAATTTGTTTCTTTTTCTATAAAATTGTACGGCCAGTCCTGCAAATGAAACAGGAATAGTAATGATGGTATAAAAGGTTAATTTATTTATTTCTTTCACTATAAAATTGTACGGCCAGTCCTGCAAATGAAACCGAAATAGTAATGTGGAGTGAACGGTTAATTTATTATTTCGTTATAGAATTACACGGCCAATCCTGGGAATGAAAGAGAAATAGTAATGAGGTGTGAAAGGTTAATTTCCTATTCATTTCAATACTTGACAGTTGTAAATTAGTTTCGAAACGCTCTGACAAAACTGCTACAAATCTAAAATTGCATAAATATAATTGAACTTTACATAAGAAAGAGCTTATGGAGCGGATGGCCCCAAAAAGTTGTTACAATATATTCGACAGATTAATCCTTGGGTATTTTTTCAGAGATAAACAACGCTATAAAATCTCTAACGAAGAGCTGAAACGAAGCACGTAAGTTTGTTTGCTTGGTCTAAAGAGTAATAGCGAAATAGCGTCTCGAGGATTCATTTTTAAGGCAGGTAAAGCAACGAATGAACTCATATTAATGTCTGTGAAGAATGCAATTCTGCCGCAACTGTTGAACTGATACGAATACAGTGCAGCCTCGCTATCGGTTGTTCCCTTTTAGATTAATTGCATCTATAAAAGATAAGCAGCATGTGAACGTACAACCACGGTGCAGGAGGCTAGAGTAATAAAAATAAAAAAAAGTAAATAACTTTTTACAATCCAATTCCATACAACGAAAAACAGGGATAGGAAAAGTCAAGCGAATGCTACAAAACAGTTCATTCGACAGCAAATTAGAAACTCGTTTCAAATTTTGAAACTTCAAATTTAAAAAAAAACTCGATGGGCGTTGCCACAAAATTTCAATTAGCTAATGTGCAGTTTTACGAGAAAAAAGTTTGTTGAATTGACGCTTTTCACTCTCCTTTACAACTGCTATGACGAGTCAGGAGCAATCAACAGTAACTTCTATGCGGCTTGATTCTTTGCTTTCATCCCTTCAAAGTTTCTACAAATTTTCAGCATGTTTGACCTTGATCTCTCTTCTTCTCTCTCTTTCTCTTTGTTCATTCATCCTTTCACGTTTTTATCCCTTGAAAACGTTGCAAAAGTTTATATCTTTCATATCTTATGAAGTGGTTTACTCGATGTTCGCCGTGATGGTTTAGCATGCATTAAAACTTCATCGACCTCACGCGCAATGATAGGAAAGAAAAGTCCTTGGCTCTCTTCAGCCTCCCCAACTGTCTGAGGCTCTGGCGCCTCCCCCCACCAGGGGAGTAGATCGATACGCTGCACCGCGGGGAGTTGTGGGTGTGGTGGGGTGGTGGGGCTGGGGGGTCACGGTGGGGTGTGGTGGATAGGATATTGGTGAAGGATGTGTGTGGTGGGGATGTTGGTGAATATTGGTGAAGGATGTGTGTGGTGGGGATATTGGTGAAGGATGTATGGTGGGGATATTGGTGAAGGATGTGAGTGGTGGGGATATTGGTGAAGGATGTGTGGTGGGACATTGTTGTATGATGTGTGGTGAAGGTAGTAGTTGTTCTCTACTCAGAAACATAAGTTGTAGACACGGCTTCGATAGACAGGATTTCCAGGACATATTGCCCCATTGCTAGGCAGTAATACTGGTGGCAGTAGCGCACGTCAGCGACGACAATCGATCTCGGAGCTCTGGGCCAAATAGAGCTCCCTAGCTTTGATTATCTGCCTAACGTAACGATCCTTTTTTCACAGATTCTATAGCTTGAGAGATTCATTTGTCATTTACGTACATAACATCTCGAATATTACATGTAATCAGGTTAAAAGATCGTTGAATCAAAATTAGAGTTCATAGAACCGGTATAAGCGTTAGCAGAACCAAAACAATTCATCGTGGAACCAAAAAAAGATAACGGACTAACAGATCGTATATAAGTATTTATAATATCAGCCTGCTTAAATCATACTTATAATATCAGTCTTCTTAAATCGTTCGTAATCGTAATATCACTCTGCTTAAAGCGTAAAAAGTTCACAAGGAATTTAAACGCAAAGATAACGCCAAATAAATTCACCACATCGATATTGAAAACGTTGCAGAGCCCAGCTCCATCGTCAGTTCGACAATCTAAAAAATGAATACAATCATTTTATAATTCAAAATTCTAAGTAAAACATTAAAACCCAAAAAGACAAATAAAACACGAAACAACCTAGAATCGAAAATCAGTCCACGCGGAACACAGAGTCATAGGAGACACGAAAAGATTAATACCTAAGAAAAACATTAGAACATAGAAGCCTATATAGTGATTCACTACTTCAAGAGGATAGGAACTGACCGCATTATTGAGACACGGTTTTCGTTTGAAAACATGTAGAGACTCTAAAGTCATTAAATCCGAACAGAGGTGGAACCGACTATCCTGAAATCGACCTCTGATACAGCCACGTCGCTATGTTCACAATCATTTTTTATCGACAATAAGTTTTTAGATTGTGGAACTGACGATGGAGCTGGACTCCGAAACGTTTTCAATAGCGATATGGTGAATTTACTTGGCTTTTTTGCTTTTAAATTCATTGGAGAAACAGAATATTTGACCCAAAATAGCTAACTGCAAAGTAGCATGTAGAGCACGAGAGAAATGTCATCAACGTTGGGAGATACGCGATGCTTATCGGGAGTGACGGAATCACAAGATAACTACAACTTTTAAAACATATATCATATAGGTGAATAATTGCATAGAAAGATTATGTTTATGAACAATAGCACAATAGTGGATTCAAGAAGAATCCAAGCACAATAGTCGTTATATTTTTGTCTACACCAGAGCCGTGTTGATAAAATGTCAAATAAACAATAGTTTCGGGTTACTGAACAAATGCAGTACTGCGCAAGAAATCGAAAAAATTTTAGAAAAAATTTAAAATATCCTACTAATTTTTATGTTTTCAGAAAAATTCATCAACGCACTAGATGAAAGATAATAAAGTCGGGGAATTTTTTGTAATTCTGACCAAAATTTATGTAATTTTTCCAAAATTCATGTAATTTTATCCGAAATTTAAGTAGTTTTAACCGAAATTTCACATTCTTAAAAATATATCAAATGAAATGCATGTGAATATTGTTAATTTTCTATCCACAAGATAGAGCAGCAAGTTTGTCTCCACGAATAATTTGTGTAAAATCTACGATTTGAAAACTTGCCTCAAAGCTGAATAAATTGAGAGATAGTTTACCACTCAAATCTTTTAGCTCGGGACAAACAGTATTTCAAATATAATTCATGATATGAGAATGTAATCATTTGAAACAGTGGAGGATTTTATTAGTAAGTTGGAGGCTCACGGGAAGCCTTATCTATGCAGGGGCGAGATAACAGACTTATCATCAATGCTATCGTCTTATCATCACGATCGGAGTCAGTCAAAAGTCCTCAGGCTGCTCTAGGTTTTTGTACACTTTGCTTTGGGGGATTACGTGAAGCATAAATTAGAATTTTTCAATTATTTTATAACATTATTTTGAACGAGTATAGGTTGACATAGGGTGAGATTTTCAACAACGTAACCTAATTGTTTTGACTATTTACTTGACGATGTAACTTCTTTCACGTAAAAATACCTACTGTCATGTCAACGATCTATCCTCGGCTTGGGTTGATTTAAATAGTACAGAAACATATTTTTAGGTCATCTCAACTCTCTGTTAAATATTGGTGACTTACTTCATATAAATAAAATTTTTTAGAAAAAAATTGAATCGACGGAAAAATGATTTCATCATACACATAAACTTGCACTGCAGTGCTTAAAATCTGCATTACATGTAGCATAAAACCTGCAATACAAGTCAGTCGTTCATGCTGGAAAATAATATTTATGTACATTTTTCGGGAACATGATATCTCATTTGTTGAGGTTTACTTAAGTTCTTAACTGTGCGCTGAACATTTCAACAGCTGCAGCCATTCGCCTTGATATAAATGAAGCCTTATAGCGTAGCGGCTTTCGATCAAACCTTGACATTGATAATATTTAGACCGCTGAAACGATCAGAATTTGAAAATAAATTTTCAATTCTAACTCAAGTGATATTTTTCAACAATATGAAGTAATTATTTGGAAGTTTGGGATTCTGTTATTTTGTGCTTACTACAATACAATATTTTGTGCTTACTACAATACTGCAAAAAGCGCGCATTGTGCTTAATACAATTTAGTTAACATCCAAAAAACTTCGTAGGGTAACATGGGGCAGCGAGCCCACTGCGGGTCACGGGCCCATAGCGGGTTTCTCGCTAAGTATGGCAGATATTGGTCCGTGTTCTCTACCGCCGGTCGACAGTTTTACAGGGGTGAAGTGTACGGATTTACTTTTTGCTAAGTGTTTGCTTTATTAAGTTATTTGTGAATAACTGTTTCAGTCCAGATAAAATTTTTTTTTGCTGCTACATTAATTTTTTTTTTCGATTACTGTCGATGAAGCTTTTGAAATTACTGTGAATAATATTTTCAAAGTAATATTTATAAGGATAATTTTGAGATCAAGTTTAGACTATTAGCTTTTAAAATAAAATGTTGACACGATATAAATTGAAATGATACCTATTGGGGCAACGGGCCCACGCGTGTCACGGGGCAAAGCGCCCATAGTGAAGTCTTGTGTTATATGTACATCATTAGATTTGTCTCAATGACCTTTTCAAACTATGACTAGCTTTTTGAATTACAAATTATACTTCATATTGCATGATTTTTTGATTTGCCGCCTCAAGGCAGCAGGTTTAGTTTCCAGTTATGCGTATTTATGACCCCTTATCGAGTTATTGACACTTGCCTTGCCAAAAGTTGATTTCAGTCAACACCAATGAGCCAAAAGTTGATGAGTTTTTATGGTGTTGGCTGAAATCACGATTAGGTACGAATTCTCTGCAAATAATATCTGGATTATGGACGAAACTGGAACGAAGTTTTTTCTGATCAACTAAATATATTTTTTCTAGTCAAGGATACATTTTTTCATGTCAAGGACAAATTTTTTACCGCAAGGATATATTTTTCAAGTCAAGGATATATATTTTTATGTCAATGAAATATTTTTCTTCACGTCAGTGATAGATTTTTCAAGCCAAGAGTATATTTTTTTCAAATTAAGTATATGATTTTTTTGAGTTGTTAATAAATGAGTGAATGTCATATTTTTTTATTACATTTTATTATTTTTAACTGTAAAGTGTTGCTTTTTCATTTTTAAACGAAAAATATACATTTGTGGTCAAGGGACCAAGGGTGGGCGCCTCGCCCCAAGCCCATGGGCCCATTGCCCCAGGGGTGGGGCAATGGGCCCATTTTTTCACTTTTTACAAAATAGTGTTTCATTAAAAATTGCATAAACATATAGGCGTCTAATTCACATCATACATTACTCCTTAGTTGTATCTTTAAACAAAACAAAGAACCACCTCGTATCAATTAAAACTTCATCAAAAATTTAGTTTAAAAAAAGTGGGGGGCGCGCTGCCCCACGTTGCCCTATCTGGATCCAAATCGATGTGTGGCTGGTTTCAAAGCTACCGCACAATAACCAGCCAATGCATACAATGAAAAAATTTTGATACCTAAGGATTTTTTGTACTACACAGCTTAGAAAATTTACTAAAATGTAAAATCAGACATTTTACAAAATGATGACGTTGCCTTGGAAGAGCTGCATTAAAAATCCAAGGTGACAATCAGAGCAATAGTGGTCCCAAAAATAGGCTCACTTGCAATTGGGCGTGAAGTGACCTCACCCTAAATCATTTCCAGAGCGGTCCGACTATGGTCGTGCATCTAATTATCTTTTAATATACATTTCGTTAGATAATTTGTAGGAAGTATCTCGCGAAACTTCTTCCAGTTGCACAATACAAAGGAGATACTTTCGACATGATATCATGAGTGTACTACTTGATATGTCAATGTAATAAGAGCGCTGCAATTTAAGTGGCTATCTCGGTTTCTCATGCGCACTTTCTGTTCTGGACGGGAAAGTTGTACATCGCTGTTCGCATTCACTCTGTGTCGGCGTTTAGTAGGGCTACAAATTTCTTCGAAACACGACCTTATTTTGTAATTTAATCTGCAGTTTTACCATACAATGTGGACCCTGTGGCTACAGTTCGGAGGACCAGGATTGGAGCAGAGAGGTGCGGGTTCGGTCCCTGCTCCGTACTGCGTCAGCTTCTGGTCAGATTCGGCAAGGAGACCGGGCGGTTGAGGGGAGAGTCTACCCTCAAAATTATCTCCTAAACTAAATGACCGATCTTTCTGAAACGTCGTTTACATATTTAAATCAGTAAGAGAAAAACATTTTGCTCATATGAACTTTTTGCAAAAATGTAAAGAAAACGTGAAATGCATAGAAAACTTCAAAAAGGGGGATTCTTTAAAAATCCATCTCCGCCTTCAATTTACGTGCTACAAAATCGAAAAAAATTTCAATCGATTCGTAAAGAAAACATCTACCGACTTCAGAAGTATTTGTTCTAAATTTTAAATTTTACCTTTTTATACGACTTTTTCCATTTTCCCCCCTATACCCCAGTTTTTTTCAATATATAATCCAAACGAGGTACAAATAAGAAAAAATTAGATCAGTACTCACTGCAGTGAGTGACAGAGAGTGCATTTTCTCGTCCGTCCGTGAAGTCACGGACGGACGGACGATCATGACGAGCACAATAGCGCCTTTTTTCCATGAATAAGAAAATGCGCTAAAAAGTCTTCTAGAGTCCCTACATATGGTCTCTATAAATCGAATGACATGTTTTTCAATGCCGTAGCTTAAAAATAATTTTAGATAGATTGTTAACATGGAGTATTTTGGAAATTTAAATTGTTTAGGGGAGCCAAATAAGTAAAAATTTATCAAGTAATTTATCAAGTAATTTAAAAAATTACTTGATACGGTAGCCCCAGCATTTCCTTTGTCAATTACTCGTATTGATGATACCATCACACGTCTTTAGACTTATTTTCGTCCAGCTTGACGCGTACAATAAGCTATAGATGTGATTTTTCTGGTATATTTATTTATAAAAATGGTCATTTTAAAAATGTTAAAAAAGGCCTCACGGTAAAAATATGTCAGCTATTTCCTTGCGGTTTTTTGTTTTCGAATTGTCATAGTTCTTTCTAAGAAATGAGATGATATATGTAAAAAACGTAATTTCTTAGAATTGAGGGCAGATAATGCCCTAAAGGGCCTAAAGCAACAAAATTGGAGCAGTGAGTTGCGTGTTCGAGACCGCAACAAGCTGTGAATCTTCAGCGATATTAAGAATCAGCGACAGGGCTAACACCCTATAATCACAGCTGACACTGCTACTGTTATATATTATAATTATTAATTATTACGTACTATTATTAGCGCATTTTCTCATTTATGGAAAAAATGCACTATTGTGCTCGCTATGTCCGTCCGTGACTTCACGTTTTCGTCGACGAGAAAATGCGCTCTCTGTCACTCACTGCAGTGAGTACTGAGTTATATTTTTATTATTATGCACTTAGAAACGAACAACGTGCGTCCTCTCCAACTCACAAAATCCTTCGCTCTCGAATTGTTATAGGCTTTCCTGACCTATCATTTCTGGGGCTTTTTCTTATTTTTGTTGCCCCATGGGACACGGTGATTTTTCTTCAGCGGATATTATCTCAAATCTTTCGATGACAAAATAAATAAATTTTTTGTATTCATTTAGCAATTTTCGTTTGTCTCCACAAAGTTGTTTGGATAGCTGAATGGATTCATCACGTCGTCGGCGAGCACTTCCCTGCAACACAAGATGAATGGTTGCTTTATAATATAGGTTATATATTAGTTAATATACCTATTAGTTATAGGTTATATATTAGTTAATATATTAGTTAATAGGGGAACTAATCATCATATAATGCAGATAATCAATATTGTCTGCACTTTCTGTACTAGCTGTCACACCAAGCTTTGTCCAGGATTTCGATTAACTTCAACTGTTAATTCGGCTACACAATTGCAGCCGACTGCTTAAAAATGCGAACAATGACAGTAAAATTAAAATTTTCGACGGAGTCACGAAATAATCATGCAAACGTGACAAAAACATTGAAAAATTCTGCAAAACTGAAACAAAGTTGGCAATATTAAATTTGATTCCGATGCTAAATTGGTAACCCATATCGGTAACGCTTCAAAACCACGTGGTATAAGGAAATAATATCCTCCATGGGTATTACAGATAGTTTCTTAAAAAAAACTATCTTTGAACGTTCTATTTCTCACACAAACAAAAACACCATGTACGGTGAAGGTGAAATTCAAATTATTGCAATTCTGCGCTCATGTATCAAAATATAACAACAATTTCAGCCGCGACGCTATTCATAGGATGGTGATGGTCCAAATTGTGGGGAAAATTAAATATGCATTACTGGAAACATTCATCGACTAACTAGCCTTTTAAATTTAGCAAAAAAATTCAGTGGAGTTTCGCTACGTGTGGAACCGATATTATTGCACTTAATGCCAGCATTAGTACAATGTGGAATTAATAAAAACCAGTTAATTTCGTACATGACGTCAAACGTGAATTGTGAAAACTGGTAGCTAATTGATTCTCGTCTATACTAATGAAGTGCCGCAGACTGAATACAAATGTCTACTCGCCTCAGCGATTTCGAAACATTTCGAATTTCGTTAGTTCCTGGAAAGGGTTAACTCATAGTGCAGAGAAATAAAACGTTCAGCTACGCGAGGGAAGTAAAAAGTACCTAAAGACAAGTTGCAATAAATGCAATAGAATGTTACTATGGATAAACCACAACGTTGCAATAAATTAAATACAATGTAGCAATGCAGAACAATAGTCATGAATCTCTTGACTTTTTGTCAAGTAAATGTTTATAAAATTCAGGAACAATTCATAAATTGAAGGTAATTTTGTCAAAAATGATGTTTCTCTACTTAAGCATTGCTCATAATTCTAGCTTGCTATGGTTTAGACATGGTCGCTGCCCAATCGACTCCTGCATCCGAGGCGACATTGTGTCCAGTAATTTAATACGAATACATCACGGCCTCACCGCGCCGAGGAATCGTTTCGAGCGCTAAAAAATCTTTTCCATATTTTTTTGCAATTTTAATGTGGCATCAAACTATGAATGTAAAAAAATTATAAAATTAAATAACTAACGAAAGCATAGGAAACAATTCCGTTGATTAATTTAGTCACAGACGCCGTGGCATCCTATCACATTAAAATCGAATTAGGTATAGAAGAAACAAAAGGCGGGATTATGAAGATGGTTGAGACTTTTCAGCTCTGTGCCAATGTGGGTGAAGTTATGGTGATTGTCTAGTATTGGAGACTTAGGAGTCTCAGAGCAGCTTGAAAGCTCTATTCTTTGTGAGACTAGCGATGACAAGCCCACTTACCAACAGAAATGAGTCCGAAAAAGAAGAAGGTAGCACAAACGATGGTCTTCATGGCGCTGTTTTTTACTGTTCAATTTTGACGAGTTGAGGGAAAGAGAGCCTCGTAACGCTGTCTATTTACAGACCGGCAGACACACGTCAAAGAGGACAGGCACCGGCAGACTGGATCGCCACCGTCGCGTCCGATTCTTATATACTGCAGCCGCGCCAGCTGCCTAATCTGAGTAAAGGGTAACAATTTAATCTAATTCGACTTAACCTAATGTTAACAGCACTCCATCATTTTTTGAAGGCTGAGCGAACTTTTACATCACTCATTCATTTGCTAAAGGCTGAGCAAACTTTCACATCACACCTTCATTCACTGAAGTCAGAGCGAACTTTTACATCACACCTTCATTCACTGAAGACTGAGCGAATTTTTTTATATCACACCTTCATTCACTGAAGACTGAGCGAATTTTTTTATATCACACCTTCATTCACTGAAGACTGAGCGAACTTTTACATCACACCTTCATTCACTGAAGACTGAGCGAACTTTAACATCACACCTTCATTCACTGAAGACTGAGCGAATTTTTTTATATCACACCTTCATTCACTGAAGACTGAGCGAACTTTAGTGAACTGCATAACGGTTAGAGGAAAGACTCCGTACAATGGGTTTGGGCGATAGAATATGTTTCTTTAAATGAAGGTGTTTTATGCAAGAACTATTTGCAGCCATTAGAGAAAATCTATCTGTCAAAAATTTCATTCCCTGCTATAGGTTACGAATTTCTTCAAGAAATTAGTGTTACAAAATTCGCACAAACATCACAGAGTTACATCACAAAATTTCATTTCGCCTAACTTAAATAATGCAAATGCAAATAATGAAGTATGATATGAGTAATGTTGTTGGTGATATTACTCCATATTAACGGGTAATATGTGCCATCAGACGCACGCTGCAGGGTTTGGTCGTACATGGCGACTGTACAGTGGACAGACCACCTCCAGGTGTTAGTGTGGTACTCTATAATAAATATTTAGAACCGCCGATTTGCAGGTCAATCAATTTATTTATAGGCGGGCGTCAACGTCAGTTCAGTCGTGACGAGTGTTTATAGCTGTACCTCGTTGGTAGTTTTTTTTAAATAACCTAACTTGGTCGCGCTAAAAACATGGATACCAATTACTGTATATTTTAAATGTGACATTGAATAAATACATTTATAAATTCAAAAAAAAAAAAAAATACCAACCGAATCTGAATTAAGCGCTATTTATGATAGTTACTATACTGACCGTGGTAGTGCCTTGAACAATTTTTTATAGCAATGAATTTATTACGTCAATATCAACAGAAATCAAAATATAATAATAATCAAAAATAAATAAAAACATCGCCAAAAGTTAGAAAGTTTTTTTTCTCTATATATTGTGGTGCATTCTATAGGTAAAGTCTACGTTATTTAAAATGACCAACCGCGTAGCGAGCTTAACAGCATTTAAGTATGAATTGATTGCACAACGTTATTGTTCTCACACACGAAGGACGCTTGGATGTTACTCATGGGTGCTTCTTACGTGGATTTTGCTTAATGCGTAATTTAGATTAAAATTCATCTTAGCTTCCATCGTTTGTTGATTCGTAATTACGTTGATGACGTCACATAATGGCCATTATTGCTGCACTTGCACTCCAATGATAACCATATGCTTGGTTGCTATATGTTAAATTCGGTGCAGCATGAAGTCTTGAAATTATCTTTCAAAAATTTAACGTTGAATGAGACATTGCGTACAGTGAAACATCTACGGAATAAAAAAATCTGGATTTTGAAACAACAGCATCGGGTTTTCACAAAAATTCTAACGGCAACGAGGGCAGAAGAAAAATTACTTAACGGGAGCTCCATGAGGCAGCTACATGATAAAAAATTTGAATTAATTTAAATAATAAAAACACAACTACTTAAAACGGATATCTTGACCGAAAGTTGAAGTCTTCAAGTTTAAAGTCATGCAACCCTTACACCCAGGCAGTATTTCAAGTAGTTTCAACCCAGTAATTTAAGTAGAATTTCTCAGATGATGAACCTGTCTGGAGGCGTCGAAAGTTCTGCTGGGCCAGTGCCCACTCAGAGGTTTCGGAAATCTTCTTTGGTGTGGATGACTCATCCGTTGCGCAAGAACTCGATATATTGTAAGATTTTTCTATACTAATGTCCACGTGTTGCAACTTTGAAATCCCCATTTTCTATGTTCTCAGGCTTACCTGTTTTATTTATATAGTGTCAGATGCTACCCATAGCATTGAAATATTCAAGTATCATCGATTAAATTCAACACAAAATTTATGCAGGCAAACACAATTTCACCAAAAAATTTATTACAGAATCAAGAGCACGTCGAATTTTATATGAAGAAGATATATTTTTAGAGGTACTACCTATAAAAATATAGATTATACAGGTACATTGACTTACCGAGTGGTCTAACAGTCACGAGTCGTTACCGACTATCAAAAGTTAGCGTTCGACGATAACAGGACGGATGTGGCTCACATGGCCTTTAGAAAAGTGGACACAAGCAGCCTAACAGGGCGTTGCTTGCGAGAGATTATCTCCTAAGCCTCACTTTATTTATTTCTGGTAGTTTTAATGTTCAACAAAAAATACATCGAACATCATCGAAATACAGTATTACGATAAATACATAATGATCTGAAGACATTGTCTCTAGCACATCATCAACTGAAAAGGAGGGTTTTCGAGCATTTCGGACCGCACAATTTGAAATATTTCATTACAGAATAGAGGAAGGCAGCAAAAATTCAAAGTAAAAAACCAATACAGCTACTACTTATTTATTGAACATAAGGAATCATGAACTATAAATATATTGCCAACTATTAGGTGTATTACTTACATCTTTAAAAAATGTATGCATGGCTATTCGAGAGCTACAGGAATTGATAATCGATTCCTGACATTACATCAAAGTTGACATGACATTTAAATTGCTAAAACTCAGTCACTTTTATGCTCGAAGTCGATCGCTAGAACGCCATGGCGAACATCTATTGTGATTGCAGCTGAACATCGGAGCAGAAAACTGTCTTCTCGCAGCTTCAATTTAGGAATACCTTTGAATTTCGTCAGCTCATGGAGAGCGTTACCTCACAGAAATAAGACACTCGGGTGCGTGAGGTGCCCTTAAAACATTGTAGCAATTCATGCACTACAATGACGCGGTACAATGACAGCTGTACGATGTAGCAGTACATGCACTACAATGACGCGGTACAATGCCAGACAGTACATGCACTACAATGGCGCGGTACAATGCCAGCTGTACGATGTAGCAGTACATGCACTACAATGGCGCGGTACAATGCCAGCTGTACGATGCAGTAATATATGCACTGCGATTGCGTGGTACAATGTTGCATCTAATGCAATGCAATGTGACAAGCCACGATTTACTCTGTTGCAACGCCAGCAATAAAATTTTTCTACAATGTTCCGTAAGGATCATGGATGAAGTGTGGCGGATTGTAAAGCTAGGGCTTGCTATATAATGGAATAAACCCAGGTTCTATAAGTCGGCGATGGATTAAAATGGTTTATTTACACATGGACTTGAAGTATAGACAGGCATATGAATGACGAGACACAGATTGAATAGTTCACATGTGATATGGACGCTTGCTGGTGATTGACTGACATAAATGAGAAGAATGGACTAACATTACTTACTAACTATACAAGTTACGGGACGATCCCGTATGTTACGGTCGGGCTTCCCAACCGTAAGTTTCCCCGACATGAAGTCCCGTTTTGTGTCTCTTGTAAACTAATCCTTATGAAATTTTACGAACAATATAGAAAAAATTATTAATTACGTTTATATACTCCCTTTTATTTTCAGGTTTTTCCGAACAGAAATTTGAAATTTTTCTTTCTATTGTTGCTCCCGATAAAACCGCGAGGTGGAGGCGGCCCACGCATCTCTACACATAAAATTGTAAACTTGTGAACGCACCTAGCCACCTACTCATGTAACTGTTTAAGGATTATTCTTCCGAGAATCGGAATCAATGAGGAACTTAGAAAAAAGGAGGGAACAGAAGAAAACATAATTAAACTACGCTCGCCATGAGCAACGGAGAACATTTCATTGTTTTGAAACTGAATTTAAAAAATTAAAAATAACGTCATTTATTTGAAGTTTTATAAACTGTTAGACAATATATCGAATATGCGACGGCGGAAAATATGAGTCGATACCAATTATTGCAATTTCGTAGCAGCGTGTGAGCATAGTATAATGAATTATAAAGAACAGTTACTCACTTACCGAAAGAAATGAGTCCACAAAAGAAAATAGCTGCACAAAATACGGTCTTCATGACGCTTTTTTTGTTATTAATTTAGTTCGTGTTGTGTGAAGGGAATGACGCTGTCTATGAACGGACCCACTATCATACAACTTAGATAACAAGCACAGGCACACTGGCCCGTAGCAGCCACTGCCTACTTTTTTTTTTTTACTTTTTAGCGCATTTTCTCATTTATGGAAAAAATTCCCTATTGTGCTCGTCATGTCCGTCCGTCCGTCTCTCCGTGACTTCACGTTTTCGTCGATTTTGAGAAAATGTGCTCTCTGTCACTCACTGCAGTGAGTGCTGAGTTATATTTTTTATAGTGCAGTCGCGCCATATCAGTCATATCTGAGGATACTAGTGGTTGCACGACCTCATCTAAATTAACCTAACTTCTGTTACTTAAGTCTTCGGCTGCGCTGTGATAAATAATATGTGCTACTCTAGAATTGGTTTTGAAAAAAACTTGACGGCAAGGTCTTAAAACATTAAAACAGCTATTTGTTTACCAAATTTTGTTGGATCAAGTAGCCACCAAGAAATGTATATCCTGTTTGAGTGTTAAAACCCAATTCATTCATCCAAAATTTAATCGCTGGAAGGTTATTTACTCTAATTAAGGGGGGAGGGAATACCCTAAAATTTTCGGATTTGGCTTTTCCGGTTTTTAGTCTCATCTAAAACCTGACATTCTGCCCTATCCAACGGTACCATTGCCATCTCTGTACGTTGATTTATGCTTTCACGACAGATCATGAAAGTGGGGCGGGTGGGGGAGTTCTTTAACAAATTAGATAGGAGCTAATTCGCTGCCCAGCAGTATATATAAAGTGTTTGCTTGAGGTGCAGCTCAGTAACCCGCCTGGCGTTGTTTGAGTAAGTACGCATGTAGTCGCTCCCACCATCCTTGAGTGGAATCAAGCTCCAGAAACGTTTAGTTTCGTATCCTTGCAACATTGAGTGCCTATGGCGATGCGGGCGGGACTTAGCCTAGTCGCGCTCTCCCGAACATTCACACTTATTGTCACGGAAAACCTATCTCCTCCTAGAGTTGTGAAGCTACAGCGATGAGACATATACCATTCGATTCGTAAAGACCATACCTAACGAGTAACGAAGCCCCTTTTTTTTAGATTTGTGCTTAGTTTGGATTCAAAGTGGGGGAAGGGGGGAAAATTTGAAGAAATGAGAAGAAAACGGAAAAATGCGTGTAAAAAACTAAGGCAAAAATAAAAAATCTAGCTTCGTTACTCGATTAGTATGGTCTTTACGCATCGAATGATATGCGTCTCAATGTTGTAGCTTGAAAACCCTAGGAGGAGATAGAATTTCTACAGTACCCTCTTTTTTTGTCAGTTTTCTATGAATTTCACGTTTTCTATTAATTTTTCCGAAAAAATCGCACGAACAATATGTTCTTGCATTTTGGTTTTACATATACATGTGTGAAGTTTCAGAAAGATACGTTAGTAAATGTGGAAATTTTTTCTGGAGGGTATACGGTATACCCCCCCCATTAGGGGTAAAACTCAATAAAAAGAAACTTATTTATCTCAAAACTGGACGAAATCAAAAACATACCTTGTTGTTGATGGGTTGAATATTCAGGTATAAAAATAAATTATCAATATGATGAAGCCGCTGCGAACGAATAGACCGAAGTTTTTAGTCAACCTTCGGCGTCGTTATATTGAAACGAAATTTGAATAATTTTGATAGGTTAATTTAATTTTGGTTAAGAAATCTTGAAATCTGAGAAAGAATAGGCTTCTTTTACCTACTGAGTATTCTCAATGTTTCTAACATTTCTAATTTAATTCACAGACCGGCTGTGGAATGACGCGGAGACGAGTGAGGAAGTTGCACAAAACGTACGCTTTGCGTCTGAGTTTGCCAGCGAGTTGAGGGAAATGTAGAGCTTAGTTTTACTGACGGGTAGCGGCACTACACTCTCGGTCCTACAACCTACTAGCTAAAGTGACGGAAACCAAGACTTTGAGGTGGGGCAGTCTGAAACTAAGCCAGTGTGTGTCGTCGTCTCTCCTCACTACACTTTCTTAACAAATTAACGAAAAAGATCACCTTAATCGCTCCAATTTTCGAGATTGTGGGACAGCCTGACAGGTAAGTGTAGCAGGATGCTCATATTCAGTTTTTTGGAGAAAAACTTGCAGACATTTGTAAATTGATAATGAGGGCACCCAAAATTAAGTGTTGACGAATCGGATGCTTATTCCATTACAGTCATAACTAATGTTTTATTGCTCCCATCATGATGCAGACCTGCCCTGGAAGGGTAAAGAGAAAAATAGAATAACCACCAGTCTTTACTCATCTTACGGCTAAAATTTATTTTAGCATCAGAATTATAGAAGAAGAACATTGGATTAGTCTGGTGTCCAAGAAACATGGGCGTGACATGCCAAACCCACCCAAATATCGAGCCAACTGTTCGTACATTAAAATGAGGCATAAAATTAGTCAAGATAAAATGGAAACTAAAACAAAGCCTTCGAGCTCGAGATGGCAAACCTATGTCATTTTTAACTTAGTATATAAATTAATACATAAAACTAAAATATCGCGTAAGATCACCGGTCGCATCGTACGAGTTTGCCTTAAATATTTTCTAGTTTTTAGAGACACTAATCGAATAATTTGTAATGAAGCTACGTTCGTTATGATGAACACTGTAGTGCAGATAGTCCTCACAGCTGAACACGCTCGCTCTGACCAAACTTTTGTTCACATTTGCTTGCATCTCAGTAGGATAAATCCTTCTTTATCAAAGATTTGATTACTCTTGGGAACACGTCTACAGTGCTGCGTGGAGTCTGCTCTGCCAACCCACACTGTTTTAAGTTGAGGAAAAAAACATTCGTGGATGATGGTACGTAGTGTGAACACGGCGAGACAATAATAGCTTTTCCGAATGCCGATTTTCATGACAAAAAACCTCGTAACGGTGACCGCGACATGTGTACAAAAACTTAGTAGCTTATTAGAGATACAAGAAGAAGATATTCCATTCAGTTGTCACAGGCAGGAGCTGCTACTACAGTACTAGCCAACCGAACTTTAGTTGAACCTATAGTTCACTACTGTCAGGGATGAACGCCCGCAGCTCCAGGCCAAGACAATATATAAATGAATTTCAGGCAACTGTGCTTCATTTATCTGACCTACAATGCTGTTTCGAACTCTCCTAGTCATCGTTAGTATAAAAGCCGGTGCAATGGCCATGGATTAAAATAATGAAAAATCACACTTAAAATAGTTTAGCAACTCACTTTTTGTTAAAATCGTAGCCACACAAACATGATAAAACAGTTTATTAGAAATCACTTTGCTAAAATCGTAATTCCGCAAAGTTAAAATACTTTATTATGCTCAAATTCCGATTAAAACCACTTGATTATACGAGAAGTTCAACACCGTATTGCACAGCATTAATGCATGTAGTTCAGGAGAAGCATTAATCCACATACGTGAAACGACAGCAGGGACACTGGTAATAGTCGGCAATACTCGACCAGTTAGCAAAACTAGACTGACAAACTAGTCAGACATCAGGTACTGTCTAGTCCGCCTTCGTAGCACTGGGCTGACTGCACAGGGCCACGGTCAGCTAACAACTGCCTAACAACTCAACAAGACTTCAGCGACTGCTAATCTCTGCTAACTACCTCGCGTTCAGTAGCGTACAGGTTCCTCTGCAGTGTGTATGATACGATTACTTGACGCGTGCGTGTCTCTTACATTTTTGTGAAAGATAACAATGATTTAACAGATACCACATTTAAAAATCCTACGCGTGAATAATTAAAAGCAAGTAATTTTGGGAGCGACAGTTTCTTGTCGTTCATACAGGTTTCAAGTGTGATATAGACGAGCAAGAGTCTGAGCGAAATAGGAAAACAATAGTATACAAATCGAACACAACGAATTAATACAACTCTAAAAAACAGAAAAATGAAACTCACTGTGAATAATCTAAAAAAAAAGAAACCTGATGTTGTAAATAATCGCTAATTGAGGGTTTCCTAGGACTGCCCATACTTTTGGAACGGAATTAGGAGGGCTAGGCGGGGACTGGTCGACCCTAGTTATCCTGCATCACAGGGCTAGGTAGGGTCTGATCAAATCTAGTTATCCTGCATCACAGGGCTAGGTGGGGTCTAGTCGAGCCTAGTTATCCTGCATCACAGGGCTAGGTGGGGTCTAGTCGAGCCTAGTTATCCTACATCACATGGCTAGGTGGGGGTCTAGTCGAGCCTAGTTATCCTGTTCCTGGCGAGGGCCCCCAAGGGGTCCCAGGCTGGCAAGACGGTCACGGGCGTCGTGAAGACGTCGAGCACGTCTTGCGGCACATACTTGCGGTCCACCACAACCTGCGGGTCATACACAACAGCGTTCTAGTGCAAGCGGTCCATGCCTCGTCGGTTACGATGCTTACAATTTACCATGGCCACTTTTGAATTTAACTTAGCATGGCGACTTTTTAATTTGATTTAGCATGGCGACCTTAATGGGTCGAAAAAACAGTTGCGAAGGGTCAGAACTATTATATTTTCCCTTGGGTTGAAATGCTATGAGTCAAATGCTACTAATCGAAACACTTTAACAAAACTTTAAAAATAGTCAAACGACCAATTTTAGGGAAGCGATGACTAATTATGAAAGAGCCTTTAATTACGAACGTTTGATAAACTAAAGAAAAAGTTTATATTCTATTACCACCAAATTGTTACTACATCACATCGTTCATAACTACGATAGAAACCTCATTATTTATCTCTCGTCGTCAAAGAAAGCTATTTCAGTGCACTTCAGTTTCTACTTGTATGCTCTTCGTTAGTAAGCCCATGCTGCATAATTCTCAGGAATCCACGTGATTTCCTGATGACCGCGCTAAGAACGGACTAGGCAGTTATTACTTAGACAACGTTATGACATCGTTTCTATATCAGAAATTACCATGACAGGCCTCGTATGTAGGGTATCAAGTCTTCAGTTCTGGGATTTTTCACTGTAAAAATAATCTAACGTAACATAAAGCCTCAATTAGATGGCATGTTAGGCATGTCTGAACCAAGAAGCTCGTTTAACAATTTTTGGAGCATAGACCAGGAATAACCATACCTTCAATATTAATAATTCACCGCCAACTGATCAACACAGTTCTCACCTCAAAAAATAGACCAGGAATAACCCTAACTTGGAAATAAATAATTCACCGCCAACTGATCAACACAGTTCTCACCTCAAAAAAATAGACCAGGAATAACCCTAACTTGGAGATAAATAATTCACCACCAACTGATCAACACATCGCTCACCTCAAAAACAAACTGCTCGAACCAGGGTCTGCTGAGCACGTGGTAACCTTTCTCGCCGCGCTCCTCGCCCCAGCTGTTCTCCACCCGCCACTTGACAGGGAGGGCGTCCGCCTCCTTCTCTGGCGCGCCATCGTCAACTTCGTTGCTCTGTAGATGATTAAATTCACTTTCTGTTCTGGAGTATTCACGATTTGAATACATACATAAATATTAACAATAAATACTTACAAATTATAACATTATGATAATACAATTCTGCGGCTGGAAATAAATTTTCAAAGTCTTTATTAAATCAAGACGGAGATGGTGAGGGCATACCCATGGTCACCCAGCGCTTTATGTATGAGAAGAGCAGAACACGAGTGTTGATGAAGAAAAGAAGCAACTGATTTCGTTCAGGATAATACGGGAGTATAACTAAAATATGAATTATTCCTGGCATCAGAGGGCAAGGGTGGAGGGCAAGGGTGGAGGGCACGAGTATTAGAGAGATCCGAAAAATAAGAGAGGGAGACCAAGAAGACAACCATCTCGATGGGAGTATTGCATGAAGCAAGGAGAGATGTAAGGGCAGAGGAGAAAAGGAAGCCCCCACCCTAAACTTGAATGCCCTTAGAAGCTGCAATGGAGCAATGGAAACAGAGCCTCTGCTCAGCAGCAACTCATTTACGAGGACTGCTCGCAAATACGAGCGCTGCTCGCAAATACGAGCGCTGCTCGCAAATACGAGCGCTGCTCGCAAATACGAGCGCTGCTCGCAAATACGAGCGCTGCTCGCAATTACGGTGCAGCCGAGCAACAAGTGACGCAGTAACGGCGGCATGGGCCGATTTGTGGCGTTTTGATCGAGAAGAAAATGCACCTAAATTGCAGCGACAAAGAAAGAACACAGATTTGGTTGACATAAATGTCACAAGTAACTCATCAAGTCGGAAGCAAATAAACGATGCTTCCTAGTAACAAGACTTTAAAAAAAAACTCATTGAAAGTGAAAATTTCTATGTTAATCTTCGTCTAAGCGACGAAATAAATGCACTTCATATCCAGATGACAAAAATCGAGAGTTTCCATCAAAAGACAGTGTTGCAGATCCGGTCCCAAGTAAAACATTTAGAATGTGAAGCAACATAGGTGTGCAAAACATGGATTATCATTGAGAGTGAATATTGAGAGCGCCTACAGGCTGGAAGTGGCAGGCTGTGAAGGTCATGGCGTGCGTCATCTGGGAGTCGCCATAGAAGAGGCGCTCAGCTTTGTTCAAGCCTTTGTTCACATCCACGCCCAGCAGACGTCGGTAGTCGAACCTGGTGGCCACGTCCATATTATTCCTTCATCATCATTGTTGTTATAAATTATTATTATTATTATTGAATATTTAATCTTGAAGTCTGGAACAATCCGAACTTCCAGGGTGCTTCACATATTGTTACATACTACTTCTTATAACGAGTCATCACAAACACCCTGAGGAATGGAAGCAAGCATAGAAATTGAGATAGTGTAGCAAAGGGCAATTAAATTTCTATAATAATGATCTACCTTATCATATAAATATCATCGCAATATTCGTGTACAATTCAGACTCACGCCTCCGTGTCCTGAATGCCTAATTTTCTAACGAAGCCTTTATCAACCTCGCTGCCAAACCAGACAGCCTCTCCATCTCTGATGCTGTCGCCCGACACCTGCACACAGCATAGTAATCAAGTCAATCATCAGCACCTGATAATGATGAAAATGATGATACCCAAACTTCTCTCCTAAGTCAAGCAATCGACCTTGCTACAACACCACGGGTCTACAGAAATGCTTGAGAGATAATGAGATAAAGGAGTATTTATCTAGAGCATTGCTAATTGGGGGCTACCTTCATAAGGGTCTATGGGCTATGTTGTAGAGCTACCTTCATAAGGGTCTATGGGCTATGTTGTAGAGCTACCTTCATAAGGGTCTCTATAGGCTGGTTGTTGTAGAGCTACCTTCATAAGGGTCTCTATGGGCTGGTTGTTGTAGAGCTACCTTCATAAGGGTCTCTATGGGCTGGTTGTTGTAAAGCTACCTTCATAAGGGTCTCTATGGGCTGGTTGTTGTAGAGCTACCTTCATAAGGGTCTCTATGGGCTGGTTGTTGTAGAGCTACCTTCATAAGGGTCTCTATGGGCTGGTTGTTGTAGAGCTACCTTCATAAGGGTCTCTATGTGCTGGTTGTTGTAGAGCTACCTTCATAAGGGTCTCTATGGGCTGGTTGTTGTAGATCGTCATGCGGCCGCCCGCCATGTTGCCCAGGCAGTCGACGCTGTAGAGGCGGCCGTAAGGGTTGCTGGGCCTTGGGTCATTCACCAGGCACACCTAAATAAACAAATAAATAAATTGAACAAACACACAAGTTATACAAGATTTAGCCCGAGGTGCCAATGCATATATTTAACACACACATATTATACAAGATTTAGCAGAAAGCACGCGCGAGGCGCTAATGCATATATTCAAAACACACATTTTATATAAGACATAGTAGAACAAGGCACACCTGAAGCTCCAGATTTATAAATTAAACACAATTATATCATATAAGAATTAGCAGAAATGAAAATGAAATCAGTATATCATAGATGACTGATGAAATCATAATAGTTTTTAAAGATATTTTATAACTCTAAGAAGTCAATTGGCCAGGAAAATGGCTTTGCTTTAGTTTAACTCAAGGTGCTGATAGAATGATGTGTTATTTCATCAAAAGCAGCCGGCAATTCAGAAAAAAATTATCCGTGTTCACAGAAGGCATTTTGGTGCATGGAGACACAGTTATCAAAGCCAGCAGGCACTCTTTGGTTGTTTTTGAGCGTTGTTTGGTATTGCATTACATCTCCTCATATCTATCCTTTTTGTTATTTTTTAGCTTATATCAAATTTCTTTGGTTGGTAGTAATTAAATGAAGTATATAAAATGACACAAGAGACGAGAAGCCTAAGGAATATTACTGTCATCTTTCTGACATCGCCAGGTAGTAAAACATCACAACACACACAGTCAGCCTTCACCTTCTGCTCAACATCAAAGACCGGCTTAACGTGCTGCTCATAGAACTCCTTGGGACTGATTGGCCCAATCTCCTTGTAGGCCTTGGTCTTGTCGTAGTACTGCCACGTGAAGGCTGAGGGCGGGACGCCAATAGTCACGGCCAATATCCTGTAGACCTCGAGCATCTGGCGCCGCAGCAGCGCCCGCACCTCGTCGTCCGGAGCGGCCTTGTCCTCCAGCAGCGTGCGTATCTCCTTCGTGTACTCCCGCAGCTGACGGGGGATAACTCAATTAGGAAGGATAATTATTTCGTTGACAAAGAAGAAAGGTTATCACTTAATGATCGCGGGCAACAACAAGAAGGAAGTTGGAATCAGGAGGCTTCTATTTTGCATTAAAGTTGATGGAGGAGTTTTCACAAAAGAGAAAAAATTCATAGCAAAATCATTATCCACTCATCGTTCATCATCTCAATTTCTTATGTATACCCTGGCTATGATTATTAAACAACCAACTACCATCATTCACGAAGTACCTCACAACATAGCTTGACAATGATGATGTTAACCAAACATTAGTGATTCGGATCCAAACGAGCGGAATTAATGAGTGATGGATCATAGCACATCACAGAGCACATATACCTATTGTTTGCATCACCCATGAATGCAATGTAGCTAATTTTTAAAGAAGATAGAACTTTACCATTTTATATACTCTAAATATTTTCATATGATTTCAAGTCAGCAATTCAACACAAAACCGAGCAAATAACGATTTCCAAACAATGAACACGAGTGCCGTTCATTGAATAACCTAAAAATTCAAGAAAAAAGGGCTACAAGAAACTTTTGATGTGACATTTTTCATGAGACAAACTCGATGCAAAAGAGCATTTAGGTAGTATACAGATGAGCCATTAAATTTTTAAAATAATCTTAGGGCACACTTATTATTTACATCAATCCCTCACCATATTCTGTAATGGTGAGGGGATTCTTCATCTGTAGTTCTTTGTATCACAATTATGACTCCCGTACAAAATATTTACAAATGAATATGACACGAGAATAAAATAACTCATCATTCATGAAAAACAATAAGCCAACATACATTTTTAGGAACTCGGATTGCTGGTGAAAAAGTGTGAACAAAATAAAAATTTACTAAAAACATTGCTTTCATAAAAAATCAACTAATAGATAGGAAAATTTGTCGGGACTTGAAATAAAACAAGAAACTAAGTCACAGAGAAAGGAAATTATAATATAACTACTTGATGGGTTCATTAAAAAGGCTGCATCCCCTACCTTGTGCCGCAGAACCGAATTCATTGTTCCAGAATTTTCTGAACTCTGGGACTCGGGAAAGCATTTCTTGGGCATCAGGCCGTACCTTCAACACAGAAACAGTAATGAGGCTTCAATTTTCCTATTAAATGGATAATTAATGCAGGTCTAGTCATCATTTCAATCTATTTAGGCCAAGAAGCAAGCATGGTTTGTCAATATTGAGGTCTAAATGATTTAGTGTTATGAATAAAATTCAGCTGCCGCAAAAACATGTAAAACGACTTGCATATGAGCAGGCGCTCTGGTCATCAAATTCCCTTTTTAATTATAAGGGCATTTCAACAAAATAATTTTAATGAAATTGTAAGGAAAATGCAATAGTTTGCAGTCAATGTTATGAGTCTTGCTGAGCATAGATCACGTAAATAAAAACGCCCCTATATAGGTAGTCAGGTTGAATAAACATGTCAAGCTGGCCACCGGCACCATCATTGATGAGGTCTGCAGCTAATGCTAATATAAGTCATCTTACTTGTTGACAAGGTTGAAGAACATGTCCCACTGGCCACCATCATTAATGAGGTCTGCAGCTAATGCTAATATAAGTCATCTTACTTGTTGACAAGGTTGAAGAACATGTCCCACTGGCCACCATCATTGATGAGGTCTGCAGCTAATGCTAATATAAGTCATCTTACTTGTTGACAAGGTTTATGTCCCACTGGCCACCATCATTGATGGGGTCTGCAGCTAATGCTAATATAAGTCATCTTACTTGTTGACAAGGTTGAAGAACATGTCCCACTGGCCACCATCATTGATGAGGTCTGCAGCTAATGCTAATATAAGTCATCTTACTTGTTGACAAGGTTGAAGAACATGCCCCAATGGCCACCATCATTGATGAGGTCTGCAGCTAATGCTAATAAGTCATCTTACTTGTTGACAAGGTTGAAGAACATGTCCCACTGGCCACCATCATTGATGGGGTCATGCAGCAAGAAGCTCATCAGGCGGCCATCAACGGGTTCTCCGGAGCGACAGCAGTCAACCATGATGTTAAGGAAGTAATTGCAGCGCTCCAACTGCAATGAATATTTTATTAGCTGACTTGTAATTGCATAGCTGGGATTTGATCCAAGTGAGCATAGCTTTTTTCAAACTAATTACAATGAAGCTGGGGTTTAAATCAACTCTAGTATTGGATTAGGCCTGAAACGTATGGTACGTACTTCCACATGAAGTAAATGAATTTCGAAATGTTGTCTTCTACGAGTCAAAATTACAAATTTATTAAATAATATGAGTGGAATTAAAAATAATAAGATGAATCCCTGCGAAGTAAAAGTTAGTTTCTATATAATAGTTCAGCTACATATATCACAGAAAAATAAAATTCGAATAATTTTACCCAAAAGGCTTTATAATTGCAGCCTCTTCTTGAATGTAAAAGAATTGACTGCACAGCAAACAGAACATTAGGCAGATAGGATTCAACTTAAAACAACAATATGCTCTTAACATGATTAACATCTATACTGAGGAAACTTTCCAGGAACATCTATGCTGATCAGACGTATTATTATTATACAAAAGATATGGTGCTAGAGTTAACCACAGAGTTAGTGGAATCAGTAGGCCTCTGTTGTAAGATTGATGAGAACTCTTGTGTCTGTGTTTCTTACGGCACACAAGATGAACAAAAAATAAATGAAAGCATGACATTAAGGTCAGAAAATTTAGGTAAGATTCACTTAGCTGATTCCATTCACTTAACAATCAATCTATCATAATGAACATTCATGATAAGTAAAATATGAATTCAACATTGGCTGAAGCCTTACTGCAGGCTGATCATTTTTTTTTTTAAATTCAAGACTTGGCAAATTATATTAAAAAAAAAATAGATATGGAAAAGTTCTGAGATGATCATTTGTTTATTAATATCAAGCAGATCAAAACTCCCACTGCAATTTCAAAAAAGATCATCGACAATTTCCTGTTTTTTCCTGTCCTGTTTTGACAATTAGTTTTCAACAATATTATTCAGTGTCTACTTGAAGTTTTATTTTGATACAACATTAGTTAAGCACCTTGTGATGATGCATCACTGCTTTCAATTCCCGTCATTCTAAAAACTATCCTTCTTTTAAATGAATATCCTCATCAGCTTCAAACTAAAGTCTCTGTATGAAACAAGTTATTTTCATACTCGAGCGTGAAATATACAGCTAACTAAACACATTTAGCAAGCTTGTGCACAGTTGCATGAAATCAAGGATGTTGTAACATGTTTGAAAGAATAAGAACTAGCTTCATTAATACTCAAAAGTCTACTTTTATGTACCTTATCCCAGAAAAAAATGTAAGCTTGAGAAAACTCAAATTCTTCAAGCCCAAGGCTCTTGCAGAAGGGAATACGGATTGCATTGAGGGCTGCAAAAATCCAACAGCGGCCAGTCACGCGCTGGTTGGTGACGGGCTTACATTCTGCTTCCACCTGCAAACGCAAGTCCAGTTCATTTACTACATTAAGAAATTCATAGTCCAAGTTTGATTCTATACCTCATGAACAAAATTTTATGTAACAAATGAACTGCAATGATAGCCAAGGTCAAGGTGTTCAGCCTAGAAGTGCAAACCATTTATTGGGATAACATTTTTGTAATGATGTTATCAATGTTATTGATTGGAACAAATTTTGTAATCAGAAACTAATTTTTCTTGACACCAACCATGATCATTTTACAAGTAAATGATTGGCCTCAGTTAATGCCTTAACATCTGCATGGAAGGAATGGATTTGTGGGATCAATCATAAACTGATTCCTCACTAGGTCTATCAAATTAACATAATGAACATAAAAACTTTCAAAAACCTTCTTTCCTGTTTTCCATTTAAAATTCTATGATAAACTATTTCAATCATAACTTTAGGTAGTTTAGCATGGATAACTAAGCAAAATATGTTGAAGCACAGAAAATATGATAAATTGAAACACAGTTGCAGTACTTTGAAAGACTATCTCTCAGCATAAAGTATGTTTCTACACCTAACTGCACTCTGAGTTTCTTCGGATCTTGCAGAGCATAGCCTAATGCCATTTTTACAGCTCTACGCCGTATAAAATAGTTGCAATACATGACATGACACAATTAATTGATGTTTACCTTGTGTGAGTACACATGCTGCAGCTGAGCCACAACTTCCCTCTTGAGGCACACATCCTGCAGGTCATTTTTAAAGCAGGCAGTGTTGCCCAGCCATACGGTAGGATCCTCTTGAACATGGCGGTTACATTCTTCTATTGCACTTGCATCTATACCTAGGAAATATTTGTAACAATAAATTTCAAGTGCATTCTTATAACACATTTCAAAATATTTCTCAATCATAGAAGTAGCATGACAGAGAGTTATTCATGCTCACATGCAATGGCATCAGTAAATCTAAGAAACAAATTTACACAAATAGTCTAACTTGATATCATTGCTAGTCTCAAAAGCCAAGATGAGGTATTAGGTGCAGCTCATTTAGTCATTACCTATGTATTTACACAATTTTTTGGCAATTCAAATCTATGGGAAAATGTTATATACATAAAAATAATAGCAATGATCAAGGTTTATAACTTTTTATTTGATGTGGTTTATCTGACAAATTAGCTGGAATATTTTCTTCTAGTTCATTTACAATATTTGGTGTTCTAGGGAATGAATTTTCAAGTCAGAGAACTGCAATAATTCAGCTTTGGGTTAAAAAATCCTCTAGCATTATCATGAATTTGGTGATTAATTTCCTAACAAGACATCTGCATCTCCAACATTTTTCCTTCTTGATTCACTTGATGGCCAAAGCTAGGATACAGGCTAAAACTCTACTAAACACTGGATAACAAAGTTTTAAACATACACTTACCAGTTATATAACATGGATATAAAACATTACAGATATAATGGTTCAGATAGAGATATTTTTTATTTCTTTCAGATATTTGCAGATTCAATGCACACTGGGCTAACCATGATAAAAACTTACTTAGAGTACAATGAATTTTCATCAACATAAAGAGTGTGAACCTGTTACATATTTTACTCACATTTATCTTAATATGAAATAATATACTTTATCTTAATATGAAATTGCATTACTTACTGAAAAGTGGAATCTTTTTCAGAGGCAGAGTTGCATTGTTTGTAACATTGGCCATCTTCAAAATAACTTGAAAAAAAGGGAAAATTTCTAAAACAATTAATTGAATTTTTAAAACAACCCAACAATCCGAGATCATAAAACGTGCAACATCTGAGGAAGATGAGATGCTGTCAGGATGGACAGAGAAGCTTACATATTTGCCTATATTTGACCACCTAATGCCAGCCCTGATGGGGTAACATAGACCAGCTTGATAATTAATTTAAAATGACCATATATAACATTTCATGTTTGATACTTATTAATGTATTTTCTTCATGTTTCAGACTCTACAGACTCTGATTATTGTTAGATATAGAGTTTAAACTTATAAGTATTGGCCTTAGTTCAAGATGCCTAGGGGCTAGGACCTACAAACATCCGAAGGGGGCTCGTACCTACCAGAATTACAGCGGAGATCTTGTTGATCAAGTAGTGCAGAAGATCAAAGACAAGGAAAGAAGTTTGATAAAAGCTGCAAAGCAGTATGGCATCGGCAAGTGTGTTCTTTTCAACAGAGTGCATGGAAAAACTGTGCTTAGTCCTGGATGGCAGACTGTTCTCTCACAGGTAGAGGAGGCCCTTATAGTGAAGAGGACACTTCAGTGCAGTGACTACCTATGGCTTCTCTCTCCAACCAATGGACTTATGCATCATAGTCAAAAGCTACCTTGATTCAGAAGGGTGCACCATTCCCATTTTTTCTGTGAATTTGCCAGGCCCAGACTGGGCCCAGTCCTTCATTAAGCAGCATAGTGAGATTAGAAAGAGAGTAGCCAATGATACAAGTAATACAGGAACAGTTAGCTCTTATGTTTACTTCTTTGAAATATGTTCAAAAAATGGAAATTTTTTGCTAGTTGTGTGTTCATTGCTAAGAAGTTAATATTGTATTCCCTGTACAGGTACACCAGCAGGCACACCATCAAAGGTGCAGAAAGAAATACCCTCTCCTAGTTCTGAGACCCCTACAGCAGGTAATACATCTAACAAAGTAAAATCCACCCCTACCAAGAAACTAAAAACAACTGCTCCTATCAGTGCCACTGATGAAGGATCCTGTACCTCAACAATAACTAAAAGCAGTGCACTTAAAGTGGGTAGCTTTGTGATTACCAAAGTCTATGTCAACAACAGCAGTGACAAACATCGAATATTTAGCCACTGTTGAACAGTTTGATGAGACTGAGGTGTGTGTCACATTCCTCCATGCAAGTGAATCCAAGACAGGGTTGGCTATTTTTTTTATTTTTTTTTAAATCAAAAAATAAAAAAATCAAAGATTTTTTTTATTTTTTCATGATTTTTTTTATTTATTTGATTTTTTTTTAGCTTTTTGTCTTTTTGAGGTGTTATTTTTATGTTGCAATTAGCCTACTAACAATAACAGTATAGGATCATAATGGATGGCTAAAAAGGGCACTTATTGCCTTCAATAATGGCCAACAGGCCAAGGTGGTGTTTAGCACTTAGCAATTTTTGGGTAAACAATTATTGATAAGTCTATTCATTAGCTTTGTAAAGTTTGTATGGAGCAAGGTAATGAGCTAAATATTGACCATTTAACTGGCTTCAATATAGAAAAAACTTCAGGAATGCAGATCTCCTAAACATTGAAGAGTCACATAACAGATAGGTAGCTGATAGCACAGTGCACAGCACTATCAATAGTCGAACTAGTTTTATGTCCTATAAATCTACCAGACTCTACCCTCTATATACACTGACTAGTAGTGACTGAGTGACTGACTGCACTGTTCCCATTTAATTCAGACCAATAAACCAATACTAAACATAAACTGAATGATAACCAAACAAACCTCATTCGACTTGAAACAAGACTTAAGTTATGAGAAAAGCTAACACTGTTTGAAATAAACATGTGCACAATTCAAATATTTCATATCCATTCACTGCATTTAATTATTTTATATATAATCTTATAATTGTAATTGTTTTGTTTCTAGTTTTAAATTCACATATTTAAAGATTGAAAATAAATATTTTAATTAGAATACTCGTATTAGGGTGCAAAATCTTTCTACTTGCCTAAAAGGCAATATATAGGCAACCTCTCAATATATAGGGTGGAGCAGAACTGATTGAGCAGTTTTGAGGTAAAATAAAAGAGTAATGGAGGTACATAAAGAAGAAAGTTTATTTTCCTAGAGGTTAGCATAACATACCATTTAGAATACTTATGTTTTGAAAACAATATCTGGAAGATGGGGGCTGTTAGCTGCAACACACTGTTGGAGTCGTTCTCAGAGGAGGGAGTAACCATGACAGTGAATTCCGATTGCTATGCTGCAATGTTGCAAAATTTCTTGCAGCCCATAATGGAAAACATTGTTGAAAATGATGCATTGAGAGACCTGTGGTTCCAGCAGGATGGGGCTACAGCCCACACAGCCCAAATGTCACTCAATGTTTTGAAACTCATGTTTCCCGGACGTCTGGTGTCTCTGAGGGGTGATTTGCAGTGGCCTGCAAGGTCACCTGATTTGACCATTTGCGATTTCTTTCTTTGGGGACATCTAAAAGAAAGGGTGTTCAGAAGTCGCCCTCACACCCTACCACAGCTAAAGGGACAGATTATTGGAGAGGTTATGGCCATGCCTCGCCATATGTGTGAACGTGCTTTAGGAAACTTCAGAGAACGACTCCAACAGTGTGTTGCAGCTAACAAACCCCATCTTCCTGATATTGTTTTCAAAACATAAGTATTTTAAATGGTATGTTATGCTAATCTTGAGGAAAATAAACTTCCTTCTTTATGTACCTCCATTACTATTATTTCACCTCAAAACTGTTCAATCAGTTCTGCCCCACCCTGTATAAGCTAGCTAACACATTTAAATTGTATATTGTAATCAATATATAACAAATAGGTAGTCAAATAGTTAGACTACTTATAGCCTTATAAGAATTAGCTAAGCTGCTAGCTACGTACAATGTATTGCACACTTGATGCCTCTGTACCAAAAACATTCAATTTATTGGAACCTAATACACACTAAAGGCAACAAGTTTATATACCAATTTGTCATTTATAGTACATTTATACTAATCCATGAATAACTTCCTTAATATAAATTAAAGACTGCTACTCAATATTTTTAAAAATCAAAATCAAAAGCTCTGGGAGACAGGATCTCAACTTCAGGGGTACAATGTTGATGAGTCCTAATAAACTGTCAAGAACCATAAAAGTGGATAGCAAGAGTACAGGTATGAGCTGCACCTTGATGCCCTCTCCTGAAACTGAAAAAAAAACCCACCGAGGCAGCCTCCTACAGGCCCATTACACTCCTCTGCACACCATCCAAAGTTGTAGAGCGCCTCATACTCTCCATAACCACACCTCACATTCCCCTCTCAGACACACAACACGGTTACAGAACCCATCACTCCACCACCACACTCCTCACTAACCTCATGCAACGTATACAAGATGGCATTAACTCCAAGCGACCTGCACATCGCACACTTCTGATCACAATCGACATTAGCAAAGCATTTGATGCCATCCCACGCTTCCCACTCGCAGACAAAATCTATAAAACAACACTACATAACAACACCAAACATTGGCTTGCCAACTATTTAACAGGCAGACAGTCATTCGTTCGCTACAATGGCATATCATCACACACAAAAAACATACCAAACAGAGTACCCCAAGGATCAGTCCTCTCACCTACACTTTTCAACCTTTACATGCACGACATTCCAGCCCCACCAGACAACATTCACATTTCGTCTTACGGAGACGACATCACAATTATATCAACACACACCAATGCTAACACATGCTCCACACAAGTACAACCGTACTTGTGTGGAGCACACAAGTCTGTTGTTTGTGCTCCACACAAACAACAGACTCAAAGTAACCCCCGCCAAATCAAAAAGCACACTACTAACAAGCCACACAAAGGATCATCAACACAGACCCACAGTCACTCTAAACACCATCATACCACACACACATGAAACCAAGATCCTAGGTGTCACTTACAACACTTCTATGTCTTTCGGACCACACATACAGGACATCAAAATAAAATGCAGACCTAGGCTAAACACACTCAGAGCTCTCACAGGAACAACATTCGGACAGAACAAAGAAACCCTCACACTAGTGTACAAACAATACATACGCTCAGTGCTAGACTATGCAAGTCCAGCCTGGGCACCCACAATTTCACCCACACTTCACAAACTCCTACAAACCATACAAAACCCAGCCCTCAGAATTGCAATTGGCTGCACCCAAACCACACCATCCAGTCACGTCAATGCAGAAACCAAAGTCCTCTCTATGAAAGAACACCTAGACATGAGAGGCACTCAATTCCTTGCATCAGCACTCCACAACCCCCTCAGTCCCTGCCATTACTTTCAGTACCTACCCCCCCCCCACCCAGACAAATTGCCAACACTCCATACAACTATTATCTCACAATAATTAATTTCATACCTCCGCCCACAGACCCAGCCAACTTCATTAAACACATACACACACACCTAACCCGGAATGCACTCTTATATCTACCAATCAACAGCGTCATTGATGACATACCACCAGACATCAGCCATACAGAACAGCAGTTGAGCCGTGCAGACAGGGTGCACTTCAGCAGACTCTGCTGTGGTCACCATCCCTCGCTGAACTCTTACAAACACCGCCTGGACAGCACTCAAATGGACCTGTGCCCCCAATGTCAAGCACTCCCCCACACCGTAAAGCATCTTCTGCTGGAGTGCCCGGAGCAGGCGGCACCCAGGCCCCGGGCAGGCATAACATCCACAGTGCAGCTATGGTCCAAGCCGGCTCGGGTGGCGGCTTTCCTGCGCGGCGCGGGCTTCCTGGCGTGCCCGGGGCTCGGGGAACATCAACAACAACAATCTTGATGCTGAGGATTATTGCTGACAACCACAGGAACAGAAAGCACAAGTACAGGTATGAGCTACACCACAATGCCGACAACCACACAGGAACGGAAAGCACGGGTACAGGTACAAGCTGCACCACAATGCTGACAACCGCACCGTAATAGATAGCAAGGGTACAGGTACAAGCTGCACCATGATGCCGACAACCAATG